AATTTTTGGTATAAACTAATCTAAGTTTCGCGCTGATTCCGAATCTAAAAATAAGGCTAACTTTTTTAAAAGGTTTATCGCCAAAATAGGTGTCTAAATAAGTATTTAGGTTATTACTTTAGATTTACTATTACTCATTTGCATTTAAGGGTAATTCAAATTTGAAAAATTCATTTAGTTTCAGACGTCCGAAAATTAACAAGAAATTAACAAGAATTTTTGTTCCTTTTCGGATGTAACATTTATAAAAGAAGAGTTTGTCTATCTGTCTATCTGTCTATCTGGCTGTCTGTCCATCTGGACGTCTATCTGTCTATCTGTCTATCTGTCTGTCTATCTATCTGGCTGTCGATCTGTCTGTCTGTCTATCTATCTGTCTGTCTGTTTGTCTGTCTGTCTGTCTGTCTGTCTGTCTGTCTGTCTGTCTGTCTGTCTGTCTGTCTGTCTGTCTGTCTGTCTGTCTGTCTATCTGTCTGTCTGTCTATCTGTCTGTCGATCTGTCTGTCTGTCTATCTGTCTGTCTGTCTGTTTGTTTGTATGTCTGTCTGTCTGTCTGTCTATCTGTCTGTCTGTCTGTCTGTCTGTCTGTCTGTCTGTCTGTCTGTCTGTCTGTCTGTCTGTCTGTCTGTCTGTCTGTCTGTCTATCTGTCTATCTGTCTGTCTATCTGTCTATCTGTCTGTCTATCTGTCTATATGTCTGTCTATCTGTCTATCTATCTGTCTGTCTCTCTGTACAAGCATTTTCTCGGCTCTGTTTCGACCAATAAAGCTAAAACTTCTTTAGGAAACCTTTCTATATAGTCTAGTTATTCTAGAATATATTCTAGTTGTGCCATTTAAAATAAAAACTAAAAAGCCAAGATTCAGTGGCATTACGAGGGGTCGAACCCGGTTGGTGCGGACCCTAAACAAGCGCGCTTCTAACTGCGCCAAAACGGCTACACCTTCAGCGGAGAAAACCCAGGGTTTATCGACTGGTCTATAAATAAAGCCTACTATTTTGCCCATGCATTCAAAACACATTAGTTCATGACTTTGGTCCCTTTTTCCCTCCCCAATCACACCTCTCATTCAGCAGTTGTTTGTGCGACAAATTGGTTTCTTTTTACCTCAATCCTTTCATTTAAATGATCACTCTTTACCTGAAATGATCAAATAAACAATTCTAGATGAGTTCCAAGAGTTGTATTAATTTCAGATCAAAAAGTAATGTCATAATCCCTCACAAAATGGATCCATCAAAGCCGAAAAGCAAAAGAAAAGAGCCGAGCTTTTTGTTGGATCAAAATTTCGCTCTCTATCACATTTTATTACCAATCATTTTGGTTTTAGGTAAGTTTTTGATTGTTTTCCAAGTTCTGCTAGAGCAAGTTTGCTCTGTAAGTTCTGCTAGAGCAAGTTTGCTCTACAAGTTCTGCTAAAGCTCTGCAAGCTCTGCTAAAGCTCTGCAAGCTCTGCAAGCAAGCTCTGCAAGCTCTGCTAAAGCTCTGCAAGCTCTGCTGTCAATTTTCAGCTATTGCTTTCAATGTCTCCGTTTTGGTGTACATTTATGTACTGTTTCTGGTCGGAATCCCGCTTTTCGTCACGACAAATGTGGAAACAAAAGGTTTGTCATTAGAAAAAGTCAATTTTCCTTAAGAAATTTGATTGCTCGGGTAAATGAACCACGTCAATGAACCAGAAGGGGCACACTTACTCGGCTTACGGCAAGCTGATCTCTTTTGCTTATCGGCAAGCTGATCTGAAGTTGATCATTCGAAACACTTGACTCACTTCGATTTCTCACCTCACAAAGGGTGTGATTTTTGTGGGAATCTGAAATTTGAATCCCTAGAACTCAATGATCATTTTGAGGGGTTTTTCTTAAGACTTATCCTCAAATTCCTCGATTTTTTTTTTGCTTTTTGCTTTCACGAGGCTGTTTCGGAAATTTGATCTAAGAACAGGTCATTGCAAGAAAAAAAATGACAAAGTTTACACAGAAAAGAGCATTTTCTTTTTTTCTTTTTTTCTTTTTTTCGACTTTTGAAAAAAAGGGATAAGCTGCTTTGAAAGGTGAAAAATGCATGGAGAAATGGATGAGTGAGGGTGGAGATTTCCGGTGAAATCACGGGATGATGAAGTCGATGATCAACAGCTCGAAAAACATTTTGAAATCAAGATTGATCAAGATGAAGTCAATCTTGACTTAACTGCTGGCTAGAGGCTGAGCAAAGCCGGTTTAAAGCCAGTTCAAAGCCAGTTCAGAGCCGGTTCAACCGGGAAGATGGCCATTGGCTTGACTGGCTCCTAGCCAAACCGATTCTAATATATATTATCCAAATATTATCTAAACCGATCAGAAATCAAACTAAGCTTTGGCTTGGCTTGGCCTAGCTTGGTTTTACCTCTTAGAACAGTCTAGATAGATAGATATTGACAGTAGTGAAATAGATGTCTAGCCAGGGTTGTTCCAGGTCCTGGAGCAAGCCTGGCCTATGTACTGGCTTACGAACAGCTACGAACAATGCAAAACGAGTCTGGCTTCTGACCAGGATCTTATTTGGCTGTACTGGATCTGATTACCTGACTTTGTTGCAAGACTGGTTCCCTGAACCTACCAGAAGTCAGGCTCAAACTCAAGCTCAGGCTCAGGCTTAGGCCCAGACTCAAGCTCAGGCTTAGGCCCAGGCTCAAGCTCAGGTTTAGGCCCAGGCTCAAGCTCGGGCTTAGGCTCAGGCTCAAGCTCAGACTTAGGCCCAGGCTCAAGCTCAGGCTTAGGCCCAGACTCAAGCTCTGACCCTGGCCCTGACTCTGACCTAGCTTGAGTTAAGTCCTAGGATCTGGACCCTGTACTTGCCTAAGTGTATCAATGACTGCAACTCTTACAACTTCTTTCAGGCCAGCCCTACAAGTACCTTGGCCTTCTCTTCACTTTCTCGGGCCTCTTATCTTTCGCTGATTTGATCTACAATGCGCTTCCGTGGTTCAGCTCGAATTTCGATCTCTACTCTCAGAAATGTAAGCAATTGAGTGTGAATTGAGTAATCTATTTGTTTAGGTAGAAAAGTTGAGCGACTAATGGTGCAAATCGGGGTGACGAGATACGATTTCAAGTTTATGATTTCTGAATTGAGCCTAAAATCAATTTTCAGTTCCCCTGGTCAACTTGTGTCTCAAATTTTTCTCAAGCACATCGTTTTTGCGATCACCGGATTGTTGGTGTTGAGGTGAGAGTTGCTGGGTCAAGTACTAGAGGTTCTTGGCACTTTTTGCTAGTTAAGATTGTTTCCAACTCTGGGCTAGATCTAGGCAGGCTAGGCTAGATCAGCTTAAGCTGGGACAGGCCAAGGCCAAGAGACAAATCAACCAGGTCAAAAGCTAGCTCTATTCCTGGCTGATTGGCTTGACTTTGGGTTTCTTCTAAGGGAAATACACGCTAAGGAGAATAGACGCTAAGGGAAATAGACGCTAAGGGGAATAGACGCTAAGGGGAATAGAAGCTACTTACTAGCCGATACAAGTCTAGTACTACTCGAGTAGTTTCAGACAAAAATGTTCAAGAAGTAGAGCTAGAACCCTTCAGCTAGAGCTAGAGCCATTCAGCTAAAGCTAGAGCCATTCAGCTAGAGCTAGAGCGATTCAGCTAAAGCTAGAGCCCAGCTAGAGCTAGAGCCATTCAGCTAGAGCCCAGCTAGAGCTAGAGCCATTCAGCTAGAGCCCAGCTAGAGCTAGAGCCATTCAGCTAGAGCCATTCAAAGCCAGCCAAGAACTAAAGCCATTAATCAAATCATTTTTTTAGATTGTATCTGATGAAACGCTTTCAGCAGAAGAAATTCTTTGAAATCGGCAATTTTCGAAGGGTTTTTTTCGGTCTTTAACTTAAAAACAAGAATTCAGATGAGCGAATCGTTCAACTCGGAGACGAAAGTCGCGGAAACGCTTCAGAATTGCGTTTTCTTGATCGCACTCGTCATTTGTGGATTCATCTATCCGTCGATCGTAAAGCAGCCGTAGTTCTTTCAAATAATGCCGAAATTTTAGACAAGTTTCCCCTATTTTCTCGGATATTTCTTTGTGTTCTTGCGATGGGCATTGAATCGAAAATTGGGAAGACAAGTTTTCGTTGAAAGAATCGACTCGTAATTGAAATAAAATTTTTAGGAATTTGCAAAACTTCGCCTTTTCTTTATCGTTTACTCATTTTTGCATCTCTCAATCCTTCATTCATATCAAATGCCGGCTGTTCATCGTTTCATTAAACCGGAAACGTTTTGGGCAAGGTAACTTTGTGTACTTTGAGTACTTTTTGTACTTTATGTACTTTGTGTACTTGGTTTACTTTGTGTTGTACTTTGTGTACTTTGTGCTGTAAACGTGAACTCTCTGGCACGTGAATTTAAGCAAGAAAGTGCATGGGATCAATTGGGTAATTGATTAAATTTGATATTTGATTGGATAATTGATTAAATTGACTGGTGCAGTCGATTAAGAGGGAGTTTTTCCGGGGGGTCGTCGTTGTCCTCGTGGTGTAGTCGGGAGGGCCCTGGTCTACAAGCCACAGGACCCGGGTTCGACTCCCCCCTCTCTCATGACTTTTGCATTTTTTACAAAAATGAAGTTCTAGATGCATATCTACATAATTCTAGATGCATAGCTACAGCCTAATCACTAAAAATCATTTAAATCTCGAGAGCTTGCACGGAGAACTCGAACGGACAGACATTTCCCTTTTATCTATGCTAAATTTCAGAATCTTTGGCCTCAATCGCCTCGTCCACTTTCGATGTGATCGTTTTATTTATCCAAAGGTTATTCAGACATTAGAAATTGATTGTTAACTCAAAATCCGTCTACTTATTTCCATTTTTGCTCGTATGAACAATATGGTGATCGAAAATTTGATCAAATCCACAAATTTCTAGGTGACTCACACATGGTATTGGCCGGAACTCGTGCAGCCGATCGTTTTACTCATTTTCTATCAACTCGCCGTCTATCAGTACAGATTGCTCACGATTATGGTAAATTTGAAATTGAATTTCGGTCATAATTTGGTGATAATTTGCTTATTTTAAAAGAAGTAGACAAAAACTACGCGAAACTACGCGAAATGGGTTTTTTTTTTCTTTCATTTGAACCACTCAAACACTCAGAAATATTGGGTTGTCCTGTTATGAATGCGCGTTTTTTATTATTCTGTGAATCGACATGTGACTAAAGCGATTTATGAAACAAAAGCTTTCAAGTAAGGAGATATAAACTGAAAGAAACACAACAAGGATACTTATAAGAATGTTCTAATTCAGTCCAAGGGTTGTCTAATTGCAATTGATTTATTTGAGTCCAAGAATCGAAGCCAAACCCAGCTTTCAATCAAAGCAATTGGGTTGTCGAGTTATATTATTCGAAAGCCGAAGATCTCCTCTACATTTTGATATAAAAAGGTTTTTGAATTTGTTCAGCTTTTGGGCAAATTGACTGCACAGAAGAAGAGGTGGCCAAAAAATGGAGAAGGTGCCTTTGGATCAAGTTTTGGCTTCGCTCAAATTGGATTAACCGTTTGGTGTTTGGCCAATAGATATATCAATACAACTTTTTTTTAAATATAACAAGTTCAGAGCATCTTTTCTTTTCTGGGCGGTTATTTTACACCATAAAACTTGAGGAATAGCTAAGTTGGAATGGGTTTTTTTTTTTGAAAGCGACCTCTCCCTTTGTGCAGTCAATTTCCCCAAAAGTTGAATGAATTCAAAAACGTTTTTATTCCAAAATGTAGAGGAGATCTTCAGCTTTCGAATGATATATAACACTCATATAAATCTGTTCGATATCTTGAGAAATTTACAAAATAGTAACTGGACAACCCAAAAGTTTAGTCTTCGCTTTGCCTAGCTTAGCTTAACGATAAATTAACGATAGCCTTGAATAACTTTGTCGAATACGGTGTCTAGATGTATGCCTGGATTGCTTTAAAAAAAATCTTTGAGACTTTTAAAGCATTTTAGAGTACGGAGTACGTTTAGAGTACGTTTAGAGTACGTTTAGAGTAATTCACTTGAACCTTTGTGAATAGTTGAATGGTTTAGCTGGTTCACTTGTTCACTTGTTCACTCGTTTTGTTGTTAAAAGTAGTCTTCACTTGTTAAAGTAGTGCTATTATTATTGCTATTGAAGACTAAAAACTATTTAACACTCATATACATCTGTTCGATATCTTGAGAAATTTACAAAATAGTAAAAACGCGTATTCATAACCGGCCAACCCAATAGTTGGAAAATCCACACAAAATTTGGCAATAAAAAAAGCACATAAAGTTTTCTCAAAAAAAAAAAAGAAATTTTGAAGTGGATACCGAAAAAGGATATTTGATTTCTCTTCTTTTTTTCTTTCTTTTTTTCTTCTTTTTATCTTTTTGTTGAATGGGATTTGAACCCGTACACCAATTCCTGAGGGAAAACTCGAAAAAAAAAAAACACATCTTCTGGATAAGGAACTTTCAAAATCCTTTGAAAAGCAACAAAAAAAATAGTTTGAATTTTCGGAAAAAGTCCCTGGAATTTGTTAGAATAATTTGGAAAGGGTTATGGAGGAAAATTTTGTTTAAAATTATCGGAAATGAACGGTTGAAAGGCTTGATTGAAAGAAAAATGAGAAAAGTTTTTGATTTCGAGATAGATTCGAGAAAAAAAAACACATCTTCTGGATAAGGAACTTTCAAAATCCAAAAGATTCAAAAGATAGATATTCAAGCGATATCCAGGTAACTTTCAAGTGTTAGAGATTAGAGAATTGCCTCAAGAACTAGGCTGATCAAGTCTAGAATGTTATACTAGCTAGATAAGAGAGATTTGAATGCCAAAGAGTGCCAAAGAATACCAAAAAATGCCAAAGAACTAGGTCTTGCCTCATCCGGCTTTGATCAAGTCTACTAATGGCTTAAATTTAGCCTGGATCAGGACAAGACATAAAAACATTAAATGAATTGTTGCAAAGCGGCTTTAACTAGCAATACTGGAATTGGCTGGTCTTCTGGATAAGGAAATTGGTTGATCTGGTTGATCAGATGGTGGAAATTGGTTGATCTGATTGTATCTCACTAGGAAAAGGCAAGCACTTGTCCTTTTGAAACGAGACCAAATCCATATTATAGAATCGGTCACGCTGAGTTCGAATCTATTCTTAGTTTTTTTTCCTCAACGCCTGTAACGCAAGATATCTGGCTTAGAAGTCTTTGTTGCATTTTTGACCTCGAGGCGAACCGCTATCTGATGAGGCGTCCACAGGGTCCACTGACATAAGGGTGTTTGGCCGAGGGGATAGTGCTCTCGGCTACAGAACCGTTTTACCCTGGTTCGATTCCCCTCACGTCAAATATTTTTTGCTTTTCCTTTTTATATTAATAAAATCTATTTAATAATTAAAAACAACAGCCTTACAGGCCTCAAGAGCAAAAATTGAAAGCAGTTTCGAACTCAGAATAACCAATTCTATATTATGAGATGTGTTTAATCTCGTTTCAAAAGGCTCCGACTTGAAGAGGCTTGCCTTGTTTAATTTCTCTGCAATTTACCGTTCTAATTCTTCCAATTCTTCTTCTATCGTCTATATTATATTTAAAACTATTAAAATTTACAGCCACAACCGACTAAAGCTCTTTCCCGAAAGCCAAGTCGTGTCTCTCTGCGCATTGAATCCGAGAGAAAAATCTCGAGCAACAGTTCAATCTCCCCAATTGTTCAAGTAACAATCACTGTGATTGATGAGGAAAAAACGGAATCTAAAGTTTTTCAAAGCATCTATTACTTATCAAAAAGCTTTTAGATGAGTGAAATAACCGGGGAAATGATTGAATCGAAATCCTCGAACAAATCCGAGATCTTCAATCCTTTATTGTCCATAAAGAAGTTTTTCCGATTTCTATTGGTAAATGGAATCGATTAAAGCTTTAGAAATCAAAATTTCAGCATGAGATTCTCGGGGAGAACTTTAAAATCACCGATTTGCTACAGAAAATCGTCGCCTTTGCACGAGCACAAGCTTACGTTTTGACGCTTTTCATTATGATGGTTTGTTTGGTTTTTAAAAGCTGAAAATCTGTCTACAGATCTGTCTACAGCTCCAGTAATCTATAAAAAAATATACAGTAATCTTACAGCTACATTATAGCCTTTACTGGCATTTGATTTTTTTATACTTTTATCGGCTTTTATCGGATCACCTAGATGACCGGATGATCTCAGCCTAAGCCTGAGCCTAAGCCTGAGCCTGAGCCTAAGCCTGAGCCTAAGCCTAAGCCTGAGCCTAAGCCTAAGCCTAAGCCTAAGCCTGAGCCTAAGCCTAAGCCTGAGCATAAGCCTAAGCCTAAGCCTAAGCCTGGGCTCTAAGCCGATAAAAGTAGAGCTATAGTATACCCAAAAGATTCTATTCTTATGCTTCATCTTACTGTACTTTTTCAGGCTTGGTCTCTCACTTTTCATTCTTGGTTGACATTTGCTCTCTTAGCTGCCTCGTGTGTCGTCTGGATGAGCCCAAATCCGCAACAGTTTTGTTTCAAGGTAAGAATTGAAGAAATAAAAGATATCAGCTATTCAATTCTCTTTCTTTCTTTCTTTCTTTCTTTCTTTCTTTCTTTCTTTCTCTTCCCCTTCAATTTGTGTACAGTCTCTGGAAACAAGATACTGGATAGCTCAATGGTAGAGCGTCTGCTCGGTAAGCGGAAGGTCGACGATTCTATTCTCTCTCCAGAAATCTTTCCATTCTTTACTTTGCTACTAAACAGAATATTATAGGTGGCTCCGATCGTCGCTTTATACGCCACATTTCTTCTTGGTCTTCAATTTGTGTACAGTCTAAATTTGACTCAAAAAGAGCTACCCGACGAGAATCCACCGTATCTTCGACAAGTGAGTCGATCAGCTATTCTTCAGCTATTCAACTTTAATATTAAATAGTTCTAAAATGTATGCAGATTCTAGCGTATCATCAAGAGATGGAGAATGACTTTCTGTAGAAAATCTGTAGAAAACAAGGGGGAATGTCAACCCTTGTTATCTACAGAATGTCAACCCTTGGCTTCAGGCCAGGGTTGACATTCTGTATAACAGCCAAATGACACAAATCTTATGCTATTTAAGGCAGAATTTTGCGCTGATTCCGAATCTGTTTTCCGTTTTTATTATGATAAACTCTGTCAAAAGTTATAAGGATACAAAGTTTGAATAGGATTTTCAAAATTATCTTTCGAGTTTATTAGCAGATTTTCGAGAGTCTTTAAGAAGTAGAAATAAAAAACAGATTAGAAATCAGTGTAAAATTCTGTAGGATTTGAATTGTTGAAGATTTGAATAGGATATGGCTCGTTTTTTGTCAGTACAAGCTATAATGTAGCTGTAAGATTACTGTATATTTCTATAGAGATTACTGCTTAGGCTCAGGCTTGGGCTTAGGCTTAGGTCATCCGGTCATCTAGGTCATCCGATAAATCCGATAGAAGTATAAGAAATCAGATGCCAGTACAAGCTATAATGTAACTGTAAGATTACTGTATATTTCTATAGAGATTACTGTAGCTCTATATAGACATTTCTTTGTAATCTCTAGATATTATTGAAAGCTTTTGTTTGGCTCTGGTTCTGAAGCCAGATACATTTCAATTTGAATAAGCTGGATGGTGGATAAGCTGACTTGGAGACCGAGCTGGGTCACAACTCTCTTTGAGACCGAGCTGGGTCACAACCCTCTTTTATCTATTCACTAAATCTATTCACTATATCTATTCATTAAATCTATTCATTAAATTTTCAGTTTGGCATGGAGAAACCGCGAGATCGTGCTCCATTTGCGGATCTTTGCTTAAAATGTCTCTTCACTTCAATCATTTTCCTTTCAATTAAACAGAAAATCGTGGAATTGAAGAAAAAGAGTAAAGAAGATGAAATGATGCTTGAATCGGGTGAAAGAAAAGCACTCCTCGAGAGTCAACAAGAGGAAAAAGGAAAGGAAAAAGTGAAAAGTACGGTAGATTTATAGAAAATGAATCAGTATAACAACAGCTTTTGGTTTTTTTAAAGAAATAACTGCTTAAGAAACAACTGCTTAAGAAGTAACTGCTTAAGAAATAACTGCTTAAGAAACAACTGTTTAAGAAATAACTGCTTAAGAAATAACTGCTTAGGAAATAACTCTTTAATCGTCTTCTACAAAAAAACCGTATACCCTTACTGTAATCAATTTCTTTAGAGTCAACAATGATCGAGAAGATCCGCAAATTCTTGGCCGATCACTGGGTGTTGTTCACAATGTTTCTCATTCTCCTAATCTCGTTACAAGCTCCCGTTGTCCTCTATCGACTACTCTACATGGCTTTCTTTCAAACGTTTCTAGTGCTATTTCAGGTAAACATAGACTAAACATAGCAGAGATTCTGGAGAAAAAGAGGAACTAAGAATAAGATGGACTAAGATGAAGAGGAACTAGCGAAGATGGACTAAGACTAAGAACTAAGACTGGGATAGACTAAGACCAAGAACTAAGGCTAAGATGGACTAAGATGAAGAGGAACTAGCTAAGATGGAGTAAGACTAAGAGCTAAGAATAAGATGGACTAAGACTGAGACGGACTAAGATGCAAATCGAATCTCATTTTTACAGATCTCATTCCCGACGTGGCGCCGTGGTTTATACGCTTTCTGGATGTCAATGATCATCTATTGCATGGCCGTCGTCACCCTCATTTACACTTTTCAATTTCACGGAGTACCAGACTTTTATGCGAGATATTTGTCGAATGATGTGTGAGTGGATTTCAAAAAAAAAACTCACAGAAAGCTTTGTAAAATTTTCAATAAAATTCAACTAGACTTTTCTAAAAATTTCAAATTATTTAAAGCGATCAAAATTCTTTATTTGAAGACTTTTGCTACTTTGCTACTACTTTGCGCAAAATTTTTTGAGCAACTGAGTCATTTGCGCGACTAGGTCTTTTGCGCAACTCCCCATAGCTTGTTTCTAAGTCGGTCAATCTTTATGATTTTGATGTTATTTTGTAGATTTGAGCAAGTGTAACAAAATGACACCAAAATCATAAAAATTGGCCGACTTAGAAGAAAGTTATGATGAGTAGCGCCAAAGAGCTAGTTGCGCAAAAAATTTGGAGCAAAGTCGCCACCCCCGACTTTTGTTTAGGCTCAGGCTTAGGCTTAGGCTTAGGCAGGCTTAGGCTTAGCTTAGGCTTCTTTCTCTTTCTCTTCTTCCTCTTCTTTCCTATTTCTTAGGAATAACTCAGCGGTAGAGCAATTGCCGGATAAGCAGCAGGTTAAACTCTTCTTGGTTTCAAATTCTTTTCCATAAATTTCTCTTCAATCCATCTTCAAGCCAGATCTTGATTGAGCTAGTTTTTAGATAATAACTTTCAGAATTCATTCCTTCGGTCTTGAGCGAATCTCATCGGGACAATTGTTGATTAAACTCTTAACACCGATCTCTTTTCTCATTTTCTCATTGATTCAAGTGAATTTCTTTCACGAGCGTTTGATGAGCAGAACTGAGAAATGGGAACAAGTAAGGGATTTTGAAAAGCTTTAAAACAACAAATTTTAGATCATTTTTGATAAAAAACCGCAATTATCTCGAATTTTTGCTGAATTACATGCACAAAGCGAGATGCGGATGGACTTTTTCCGACAACACTTCGCTATGGTTCAATCGCTGATGTAAGAGTCATTGCTTAGAAATCATATCTAGATTTAGCAATAAGCCTTTCTGTAGGCTCAGCAATAGAAACATAGCCTTTCTGGCATACTTGGCTTCAAAAGTGTTAAGTTAAATGCACTAGAAAGCGTGCGTTTTCTCATTTTCGATTCGATTTGCTCAACCAAAGTTACACTGGAGATCAGTTCTTTGGGTGGACTTTGTGTTCACCGGTAAACGCACGCTTTCTGGTGCACGGGGAGCAGTGAAGTTAGTTTGGTTTTCAAGTTAAAAAAGTTAAAAAGGTGTACTTTGTGCTCACCGGTAAACACAACCTTTCTAGTACATCAGATGCTTTCTAGTATCGATTTTTATATAAACCTTTTAAAAAATTTCTTTAGAAAAAGAATTTTTATTTTTTTTGACTTGAAAAACATCTGACTTCACTGGTCCCCGTGCACCAGAAAGCGTGCGTTTACCGATGAGCACAAAGTACACCTTTTTAACTTTTTTAACTGAAAACCATCTAACTTCACTGGTCCCCGTGCGCCAGAAAGCGTGCGTTTACCGATGAGCACAAAGTACACCTTGAAGTACAGTAGAGTAGAAGGCTAGAGTACAATAGAATAGAAGGCTAGAGTACAGTAGAATAGTAAAATACTGTTAATACCGTAGTCTTAGAGAGTGTAAGATTGTTGTGTCTCACAAAAAAAAACGAATCTAAAACCAATCATACACAGATTCGGCCGTCCTAAGCGTAAAAACGCACGCGTGAGATTTCACATAGATTCTTGGTACAAAATATTATATTTTCAATTATATTTTCAAAATTGCTTAGAGATTTGCTTGCTTTAACAGCTTAGCTTTTATTATTTAGCTTTTTTTTTTAATCTTAAATGACTTTCAAAGTTATAAGTGCATTTTAGGAAACGAGAACAAGAAGAAGAGGAGGCTAAAGCCAAGGTGATGGCACAAGAAGGAGAACACAAAGAACATCAAGATATGAAAACAAAAGTGAAAGTGTATTTGAATAAGATTGAGAAGAAAGTTGAGAGAATGGTCAACAAAAGGAATCAGGTCAGTAGATTTCGATTTCGAGAAGCTAAGGACTACAGTAACTAGTGAGAAATAGTTCTTGTTCTTGAACTGATTAGGGAAGTTTAGGCTTAGGACCAGGCTCAGGGTCAAGCTCAGGACCAGGCTCAGGGTTTGGCTCAGAGCCAGGTTCAGGGTTTGGCTCAGGGCCAGGTTTAGGGCCACGCTCAAGACCAGCCTCAGGGTCAAGCTCAAGACCAGGCTCAGGGTCAAGCTCAGGACCAGGCTCAGGGTCAGGCTCAGGGTCAGGCGCAGGGCCAGGCTCAGGGCTTCTAGATTCACTGTTAGTACTGAATACTTACTTTCCCCTGGCCCGCTCTGACCTAATCAGCTTCAATGACATTCAATGACATTCAATGACTGGAAACAAAAGGATCTTTTTGAGACTACTAGCTAGTTCTGTGGTGTATTGGTTAGTGTCACTGTTCGCGAAACCAAAAAGCCAAACCCACGTGGGTTTGACTCCTCGTCAGGGCAATCGACAATTGTACAATTTTTGTACAATACTCTTGTTGGTTAGCTAGCTAGCATTTTGTTAGTAGCTTTAATCCACAAGGTGGCTAACAAAACCTTGGCTTTGGTGTCGGCAAACTATTGTAGTCACGCTATTGTAAGACATCAAAGTGATCCCAAAAGCTGATCTATCTTTTTTGGGGTTAGAGTTTTAAAACAACTTCTTCAGTACGCAGAAATTCTATGGAGAATTATCGAAATGCATGTGGAGAGAGCGATCTGCGGACTGATGATGTATGTGGCGATCACTGAAGTGAGTAAAGAAATTGAATTAAAGCTATGCGATCGTTGAAGTGAGTAAAGAAATTCGAATTAAAGCTCTAAATGTTGATCTAAATATCTAAATACCGAATTTTCTCAGATCTCCGCCACTAATTTGCCAATGGTTTTCTTCATTTCTTTGGTTTTCTCAAAAGAACACCTTTTCAACACATTGTCACCATTTTTGGCTGTCTGGACATCGGCTCTTGTGATGTGCAAAATGTTTTATCAAATGGATGCTTTTAAAGAGGAATTTTTTGAAGTATCTTGTGATGTGAGTGGAGAAAATTGAAGAAAATTAGAGAAAATTAGAGAAAATCATGGGGAATTTCTAGAGTGAATACGTCAATGGCACATATAATTCGATGGCGTGGAGTGGATTGAATAAAACGCCGAGATTAGCCTCATTGCTTTGGGTTGGTTGATGGTGAACTTTTTGCTCGTGTAAACGTACCCTTCCTGGAGTAGCAGAGATTCTAGCCAGCTTTAAAACTAGCTTTAAGACTAGCCTGAAGACCAGCCTTAAGACTAGCCTTAAGATCAGCCTTAAGACTAGCCTTAAGACCAGCCTTAAGACTAGCCTTAAGACCAGCCTTAGGATCAGCCTTAAGACTAGCCTTAAGACCAGCTTTATGCGTTCTTTTCCGCCCGCTCGCCTCTCAAAAGTGGCTAGTTCAATGCGCTAGATGGCGCGCATTTACGAGCGAGCAAAAAAGATGAGTGTCCTAGAAGGGATGTGTTTACATTTTTGAGCACAAAGTACTTGTTAGATGACTGAATTTCCCTTTCAGCCCTACATCCTTCTATCAGTGGCCTTTGCTGCGAGAACGGTGATCTGGCTTCGAATGACGATGCATAGGAAGAACAAAAAGGTTCTCTAATAGCTATTTTCAATTTTCTAATCATTATATTGAATTCAAGCTTTATTTTATTATCTTTAGGAAGCTCCACCCCTTCACGGGATCATTTTTTCGAAGATAAATCGAAGAAAAGCTGACAAATCGTTGGCGAAATGTTTGCAATATTTGGCCAACTATTTCTTCTACAAGTTTGGATTTGAGGTTGGTTTGGCTTTCCTTCTTTCTTCCTTTCTTTCTTTCTTTCTTCCTTTCTTTCTTTCTTCTTCCCTTTTGTCTTCCCACTTTCTCTTGGCAAGTTAAGGCACTGAATAGCTTAGTGTTTAGAGCAATTGGAACAAAGGTCCAGAGTTCAATCCCCTTCAGAAATCTAAGTTTCCTTGTCAGCTTTTCTTCGAGCCTTTGCTTTTTGATTATAGATTTTGAATTCAATTCTGACAATTGGAACAGCCACTTTTTATGAATCCAATTTACATTGTGATTCAATGTTTGCTTAAAGTGTTTGCTTAAAATTTTTGCTTAAAAACAAAGCCTAACAACTCAAAGTATAATATAAGCCACCAGAAAAATCAGATTTATTATATAAAATAAAAGGCGACGCACAATTACCCGCACTCAATTCAAATTCACATTTTAAACTTTGATCCCTAATCGAAAATCATTGTTTTCTAATAAAAATAAGCTAGATTTTGGAAATAATAAATAAAAAGGAGTAAATGAGCTGGTTTTGTTCGATTTTGAGCCATTGAAACTAGTTACAAAAACGAGAAAATCGCGATTCCGCCGCAGGAAACGCGTGTCGCAGCTTTGCAACGCTCTAGCAAAAGTTTAAAAACTTTTCTGATCAAATCCAGAAAACACAGTGCAAGAGAAAACTTCAATTTGATAATAAAAAAAGAATTAGGTCGATTGATTGACTCTTCGCTAAGCTGGAGAATCTGAAATGAGTGCGGGTGATTGTGTGATTGTGCGGATAGAAGATATATAGAAGTATATCTTCTCGTATAGAAGATATATAGAAGTTTATCTTCTCGTATAGAAGATATATAGAAGTTTATCTTCTATGCGCACAATTATCCGTGTATAAGTTAAGATAGAAGATAGAAGATAGAAGTTTTTAATCAAAATCTTTTACAGGTGTGTTGTGTCCTTTCGGTGATCACTATCGGACTTCGTTGCGATCTTTATGCTGTTTTCTATGCCTCCTTTTTGATTGGTAACTTTTGGACGGTTGTTTAAAATACCGACTGGGGCTACCAGTGGTGAATTTATCGCATACACGAAATATATCAATCACAATACAACGACACACACAATACTAGGCTATATCTTAACTTAACCCACGTCATGACAGACGGCTCCCTAACCCTAAGCTCAATGGGGAACTAAATAGCTTTTTTGGTGGTGAAGGGAAGATGACGATGAAGGAGTGGCTTGTCACTTTAAAGAACTGGGGCCACAACCACCAGACTGCCCTCCAGAAAACCTCTCAACCCGAAGGGAAAGGAAATCCGAAGGGGGTGACCATGTCGCATGTGGGGTTCGAACCCTCGACCTTCCGATTAAGATAAAAGACACTTAACCAGTCAGCCACACGTGCTCATGTTTGAAGTTTGAAGTTTGAAGAACTTACTTAAGAGCTTAAGAACTTCAGAACTTCAGAACTTCAGAACTTCAGAACTTCAGAACTTCAGAACATGATTCTACTAGTTATAAAACAACAATACAAACTTAGAACTGAAACATTGATACAATTGTACAATTGTACAATGGTACAATGATCCAATTGTAGATGATGGTACAATTATACAATGATACAATTGTACAATGATACAAAAATCCAAAGTTGTCTTTGTCTTTACATTGAGTATTTCTTTATCTTTAGTATGTCTTTGCATTGAGCGGCAACAAGTTGCTCGAATCTGGCCTCATTATCGCACAACATTGGCCGTTCTTCTCTCAATTCAATACATCTTTTGCGTCGGAATCCCGAAAGTTTTCTGTTTAGGTATTTTTGAGAAAAAAAAAGTATTATTATTATTTACATATGCAACTTTTATATATTTAAGACGTCAAGAGTAAGCGTACTTTTCTTTTCATAGACTCCGATTCTATACAAATCTCTAGTAGTAGTGCACCCAAGCGAGTCGAGTTGGTGACGATTTTACAGTTCCCAAGCTTTCACAGAAGCTCAACACCCAAATCCCCCACTAGATCTCATCGTCAGCTCTATTCGATAGCTCTATTCGATAGCTCTATTCGATAGGCTCTCGAGATTTCGAGGAATTAGGCGACGATTTAGGCGACTCTCACGGTGCACTACTATTAGAGAAAATACGGTATATGCAAATTTGAGAAGAATGTAAATCAAAATGAAATCCATTTCAGCTTATCCATGGAGTTCTTGGGATCAAAATATGATTGAATGGCTCTTTTACCGGATCACCTTATCGCCCCAAACCCTGTGAAACTCTGGGGTAAGCCTCTTTTCCCCTCTTCCCCTCACATCCTCGGTAGTATAGTGGTTAGTATCCGCGTCTGTCACATGCGAGACCCGGGTTCAATTCCCGGCCGGGGGAGAATTTTTTTCTTTTTATTGAAATAATCAAGATTTTAGCTTTGTATAAGCTTTCTAGCTTTGTTTTAGCTTTATAGCTTTGCATAGGCTTTATACAAAGCTTATCTAAAGCTAAAATTCACTGCAAATACCAAAGACAGTCCAATAAGCCGATTTAGCCGATTTCTTTCAATTGTTGGCCGTTTCCTGTCAAGCTTACGTGTTCTCAATCGAACTCTCGAAAGATGCCACTTATTATCCAGGCGGTAACAAACATCAATAGCTAGGGAATGATTTGAAAGCTGAAAAACTTCAGGTCAAAACTCGTCCGTCGTTCCCTACCATTCTCTTTGGACCATCTGGTACTCAGCCATCAAAAAAATCCCGCTCGAAACACCAAAACGAAAGAAAGAAGCAATAAAAGTACCGGATTTCATCAGTAAGCGGTAGGCTTTCGAGAAATTACAGTCTTCTTTCCTAGAAGTAAACGGATATGGACTAGAATTTGGGAGAAGTTAAAGAGAGTGGATCTTTTGAGCAGGACCTTTTGAGATCCTCTAACACCCTGACAGCCAGACTAAACTCCTCCAACGTATTAGAGGGAAGTCCCTGTGAAATCATCGGCCTGAATTGCAGTTGTAGACCCGGAAGATCTGTATCTTTATTTAGAGTAGTACGATAAGACGAATAGATTACAAATGAGTGAAAGGGAAAGGGGGGACTCCAAGTGAGAGCCTGTCCTCCTAGGCAATCCAAAGGATCCAATCCAAGGGATCCAATCCAAAGGATCCAATCCAAAAGATCGCCTCTTCTCGGCGATGAAAGGGATAAGCACAAGGAGATCACATTTACTAAAGAATAGTATTCATTTAATAATAACAAATCATTCAATAACAATAGTAACTAAAATATCAATTTGGATCGAAGCAAGTTTTCTTTTCTTTTCTACTTTACGATTTTCGAACAGCGACTTTTCTAAACAATTCAATTTTCTAGACAAAACCTGCTTGACGAGGCAAAGAATTTCGTCTTTATTTACTTCTACTGGGTGACGTTGGGAGTGATTTTTTCGACCGGAACGAGTACAGGTTGGGGACTCTTGATTTTAATCATCAATTTTATCCAACCCATACCTGTAGTAAGCCTCTTTTCCCGTCCAAGCCACGCATCCTCGGTAGTATAGTGGTTAGTATCGGCGTCTGTCACATGCGAGACCCGGGTTCAATTCCCGGCTGGGGAGAATTTTTTTCTTTTTATTGAAATAACAAAGATTTTAGCTTTGTATAAGCAAAAGCAAAAGAAATCATAAAGCGAATTTTATCCAAGCCAAGATAGAAGACAGTTCTTTCAAGTCAAGGCTATTGACTAGGGCTAAAGACTAGGGTCAAGCCAGCAGTCAAGTCTTGAACAAGCGTGGATACTGGTCAAGGTGGAGTTAGAAGCCTTAGCCAACCCATACCTGGCTTCTAATCGGGATTAGTCCTGGTTTTGCCTGGTCTGACCTACAGACCCTAACTAGTAATAGATTTACTTAATATAAAGTCAAAAAGAAAGTTTTTACATAGATCACTGTGCCAAATGGAGTGCGTTTCTGTAATAATCTGAGAATAAAAGCATAAGCAGTTGGATAATGAATAAGAAAAGAGAAAAGGGACAAAAAAGCAAAACTTTTGCTGAGTCGAACTGAGGCTAAGTGGTCAAGAGGCTGAAGCAAAGACTGAAGCAAAGACTGAAGCAAAGACTGAAGCAAAGACTGAAGCAAAGACTGAAGCAAAGACTGAAGCAAAGACTGAAGCAAAGACTGAAGCAAAGACTGAAGCAAAGGTCAAGAGCAAAAAAAGAACTGAGGCTAGGTGCCTTGACACTTGACCACGACGACACATCTCCAACGAAAGCAGGATCGTTGATACTCAGATAATTAGCGCAACACTTAAAAACTGCTTTAAACAAACTTTATAACGGATTTAAAAAATTTGAAAACCGAAAATTTGAATTCATTACACACAAATTATCTAGAATTTTCTCTAAAAGCTTTTGGCAAATAAAGAAGTTCTTTGATCATTACAGAAACGCATTCCATTTAGCACAGTTCTCTGATTATTACAGAAACGCACTCCATTTGGCACAGTGATTCATGTAAAAACTTTTCTTTATTTACCTTAGTAACTCTTCCTTAGTAAGTTTTTTTTTTAAAAACCCTAAATCCCTTTCAGTAACTCTTTTCAATCTCGGCTATATTCTTGGTTGTTTCTTCTTTCTTTGGTTTGGTAATTCGCTCTTTTTACGACCAATGGCTACGGCTTTACAATTGTAAGTGTTTAATGATGTTTTACGCTTTAATAAGTTACCGTATTTTCTCTAATAGTAGTGCACTCTAAGCTTTGCCTAAATTCCTCGAAATCTCGTAAACCGCTTATCAGAACCTATCGATGTGGGTTGGGAAATGGAGCTGAAGATGAGATCTAGTGGGGGATTTGAGGGTTGAGCTTCTGGGAAAGCTTGGGAACTGTAAAATAGTCATCAACTCGGCAACACCACGCAACCAACACCAACCTCCAACCCGGCTCGTAGGGGTTCACTACTATTAGAGAAAATATGGTAGAATCGAGTCGAGTCGAGTAATTACTTACTCGCGAGGAACACATTTTACTCCTAGCCGCATCTACAGTATTCAGCTAATCTGCCGTATTCTCTAATAGTAGTGCATTGAGATGGAAGCCTTGAGCGTCGCCTAAATTCCTCGAAATCTCGAGAAGCGCTTATCAGAACCTATTGATGTGGTGTCGGAAAATGGAGCTGACGATGAGATCTAGTGGGGGATTTGAGTGTTGAGCTTCTGTGAAAGCTGGGGAACTGTAAAATAGTCACCAACTCGGCAACACCACGCAACCAACACCAACCGCGGTGCACCCCGGCGTGTTGGAGTTAGAGTAGAGAAAATTCGAGAAAGAGCCGAGTTGGAGTAGAGAAAGTTAGAGAAACTATTAGAGAAATACTATTAGAGAAAATACGGTATTCATTTTCGATCTCTTTGTCAATAGGTGTACAACGGAAAAACGAGATTTCATTACTTCAACGACTAGCTTATCAGCTTTTTAAAACGAAAAAATAGAGCTGGAGAATAGAGCTTGAAAATAGAGCTGGAAAATCTCAATTCGTGTAGTAAGAAATACAAAAAAAAGATGTTGTTAAAGTGATTAAATTTTTGTTTTTTTGTTGTACACCTATTGAAAATAAGAATGTAAATGAATAGTCCCTGTCAAAGAAAAGATGGGATAAATTGAATGATTTAGATGGGACACATTGATTTTCTACAATGTTTCAGTGATTTTTGTGAAAATCTCGCTACAGGTAGATTTGAAATTGAGATTTTCAACTCCATTTCAAAATTTGTAAACATTTTTTTCTATCTAGGTTGTTGGCTGTGTCTACATGTCACAATTATACAAGAATTTCTGCTGGATGTTGCAATTGTTCGGGATCGCTTGCCTCAAAACGGGATTGGATCCGAAATTGAGTGAATGAGACTTGCAAAAGCTTTTGATCTTTTTTTCTTTTGTAGTTGTCAAAAGAGAGATTCTCGGAGAATGCGATGTGCCGCATAGTGAAGCCGGCATTTTCTATGATGGATTATGTTTTGCATTCCTATTGATTCAAGTAAGAATTGGTATAAATCAAGAAATTCTGGTCGTTGGCCAGAAGCTGAGGGTTTTGATTTATTCCAACGACTTTTTATTCCAACAACTTTGACAAAGTGACGTCATAAATGAGAGAAAAAGATCTATAAATTTGTATAGAGATCATAGAGATTAGTTAAAGTGAAAGGATCTTCACTTTAAATTGGTTCCAATACGGTTCCAATACGGTTCCAATACGGTTCCAATACGGTTCCAATACCGTTCCTTTTACGGCTCCAATACGGTTCCAATACGGTTCCAATACGGTTCCAATATGGTTCCAATACCGTTCCTTTTACGGCTCCAATACGGTTCCAATACCGTTCCTTTTACGGCTCCAATACGGTTCCAATACGGTTCCAATACGGTTCCAATACGGTTCCAATACGGTTCCTTTTACGGCTCCAATACGGCTCCAATACGGTTCCAATACCGTTCCTTTTACGGCTCCAATACGGTTCCAATATGGTTCCAACATCTTTAAACACTTTTAAAGTCATTTTTCAAAGATTTTTAACTTTTTATAGTGAGCACTTAAGGCTTTAGCTAAAAAAAGCCAAAAATATTTAAAATCTAACCTTTTTGCCGATTTTCTAGGCTTGATCTTTGATTTCTAAAGTTCTAAAGTTCATCTTCTTCTTATTTTTTTAAAATTCTAGCATTTATTCAAGAATTGATTTAGTTTTTGGATAGAATTCGAATAAATAAACGAAATAAAACTACAGAGTCGATATTTAACGACTTCTTTTTGGTAGATTCGCTCGCAAGCGCCAAATTCAATCCTAATGTGTAAAGTGTTATATAAAATATTGAAGCCCTGAATCTTGGCTACATTTACCTATTAGAAGTTGCCCAATTGAAGTTATAGAACTCATTTTACAAGCTCTTGAATGAGCGCTAGTTGATCGCCATTTACTACTGTCAGAAAAAGTTTTTCGCTTTTTATTTTATGTTCAAAATATTATTTAGCACTATTTAATAATATTAAACCTATTTTTGACCATACCATTTACTAAAATTTAATTTGAAATCAAATTCCTTTGGTGGTCCAAGGAAAGAAGTGAAAATTGGGTATTTTTCGATGTTCAATTCAGCTAGTAGTATTCAAGGGCTTGTAAAATGAGTTCTACAACTCCAATTGGGAAACTTCTAATAGGTAAATGTAGCCAAGATTCAGCGCTTCAATATTTCATATAACACTTTACACATTAGGATTGAAGTTGGCGCTTGCGAGCGAATCTACCAGAAAGAAGTCGTAAATACTGTTTTTAGACGATTTTCATAGAAATTTGCATTTATTCTATTTTAGTCGATGAACAATGATGAAAAAAATACCAAAGTCTTCACTATATCAAATGATTTTCAACTTTAGCGTCGAATCTTTCTCTCCGAGTACTTCAAACATGTGATCGCTGAGTATAAATCGCAGCGTTTCTTCGCGAGCCGGTAGATTTCAATCAAGATTTACAATAAATCATTAATCTACACTAATCTAGCTATTCTTAATATATTTAAACTTAGATCTGTTAATCAAATTGTTTCAGTGGAGCCGAATTGATTGCCAAGATCACTCTAAAAGACATCAAGGACGCTGAAGAAGCTGAGGCACAAATGCTAGCTCAGGTCAGGTTTTGAGTTAAAAGTTTTGATTCAGATTTGATCCAGATTTAGATCTAGATTTAGATCTGGTTTAAGATCTGGTTTAAGGTCTAGTTTAAGATCTGGTTTAAGATCTAGATTAAGATCTAGTTTAAGATCTAGATTTAGATCTAGATTAGGATCCAGATTTAGATCTAGATTAAGAGCTAGATTTAGATCTAGATTAAGATCTAGATTTAGATCTAGATTAAGAGCTAGATTTAGATCTAGATTTAGATCTGGTTTAAGATCTGGTTTAAGATCTAGATTAAGATCTAGATTAAGATCTAGATTTAGATCTAGATTAAGATCTAGATCTAATCTAATTTTAATTCTAACTCTAGATAATATTAAGAAATTGAAATCGAAGATTGAAATCAATTTTGAAATCAATTTCAGGTCCGCAAAAAGGTCGAGGGAGTCCGAGTGAGGAATGAAACCGATAAAAAGACGTTGAAAGAGAAAGGTTTTAGAAGAAAAAGATGGAGAGATCAAGAAAAAACTAATAAAAACTAATAAAAACTAATTTTATTAGTAGTTGACTTATATATTGAGCAGATTGTAACAAGATAATGACTTCAGTGTCGAGTGGAGATGAGTTGAGTCCCACTGAAGCCTCGCCGAATGCACCGTCGATCTCGATTCAAAGTAAATGAATTTCTTTGATTTTCAAACAATCTTGCTTAGCTTAGATTCAGATTTAGTTAGTTTAGAGATTTAAATTTTATCTTCTTTCCCTTCTTACTCTTCTTACTCTTCTTAACATCAGTTTTCGGCTCTTTCCTAGTTTCCGGGTATTTTGAACGGGTTGTCACACTTTGAAGACCTATAACTTTGTCCAGAGATCATATTTTTGTTAACTTTTTATATCATTACACAGAGGACCTTTCAGACTTTCAAATAATACCAAATAAAGCTTGATTGAACAATCCAATCCAAGAAAACCAAACCAAACTCTGAGCAATGACGTCTATCCGACTCGCGTCTCATTTCGATTGGTCTACATGGGAATGAAAAATTCAATCAACCTTTATTTAATATCATTTAAATGCCTGAAATGTCTTCTGTCCAATGATATAAAAAGTTAGCCGAAATATAACCTCTGGACAAAGTTATAGGTCTTCAAAGTGTGACAACCCGTTCAAAATACCCGGAAACTACGCAAGAGCCTAGTTTTCTAATAAAATCCATTTCCAGGAGTGGATACACCAAAAGAAAGCACTCCTCCATCACCGATAATGACCGACAATGGAGCTTTGATCTCACTAAATGTACAAGAAGAGAAAAAAGTGCATTTTAAAAACATTTCCTAAACTATTGTTTTAAAAAAACTACTATTGAAAAAAAAAACAATAGATTCAAAGCTAATTTCCATTCGATTAGCCTAATTAGGATTATATTTTAGTATCATTCAAGCCCAAAGCTCAGTTGACTGATTGAGCTATTGATTGAGCTATTGATCTAGCTATTCACTGAGCGTTGTACTTTTAAAATTTGGCTCAATGTAGATTGATCGTTTGGTTACAGCTGTAATATCTAGACTAATTATTTTCATCACAGGATCCTCGAGAATCACTCAAACCCTCGGTTGACTTTGCTGTTGATTATTCACCGAAAACAACTCCGAAAACTGGCACGAGAATGAGCAAAAGTATTCCACAACAAAGGGGATTGCCATTGAATCCATTGAAGTGAGTGGAGTGTTGTTGAAGTCATCGATTAGACACTAGACAAGCTTTCCATTAGACAAGCCATTAGACAAGCCATTAGACAAGCCATTAGACAAGCTTTCCATTAGACAATCTTTCTATTAGACAATCTTTCTATTAGACAAGCTTTCCATTAGACAAGCTTCAGATATCAAAGCTAAAAGCTAATATGCTGTTATCCATCATATGCTTATATCAAAGCTAAAAGCTGATAATCTATACTGAGTCATTTTAGACCTCGTACTTCATCTGATGAACAACAAGATGATGAATGGTAAGAAAAGAAATTCTTTGTTCTTGAGAAGTTCTTTCGTTTTAGGTACACTTCAACAACTCCACAAAAAGAGAAAATATTCGATGAGAAGATTATTGAAAAAGAGGGAGGAGTCAAAGGATTAGGGCCACTGCAATTACTTCATTTCGTTTTCTCGAAGGGATCTTTTAGAGAAGCGTTAAGGGTTGGTTCTCTATGTAAACGTTAAGTTAAACTTTAACTTTAACTGTAACTTTAACTGTAACTGTAACTCTAACTCTAACTTTAACTGTAACTCTAACTGTAACTGTAACTCTAACTCTAATTGTAACTGTAACTGTAACTGTAACTTTAAATTTAACTGTAACTTTAAATTTAACTGTAACTGTAACTGTAACTTTAACTTTAACCTTAACTGTAACTGTACCTTTAACTGTAACTTTAACTGTAACTTTAGCTGTAACTGTAACTCTAACTGTAACTGTAACTTTAACTAATTTAAAGCTTGATAAGTTAGTAGACTTGATAAACTTCAAGATTTAACTAACGCCAATAGTTATTGATTTGTTGAAGATTTTGGTTTGGTTGAAGTTCAATTCAAGATTCAACTTTTCTCTAGGAATCCCGCAAAATCGAGGCCACTCACGAGAAACTCGAAAAGGAAATGGAGCAAACATTTGGAAAAGCCGATCACGAGGTGAGTTAGAAGCAAAATTTTGGAAGTTAGAAGCAAAATTTTGAAAAATTTTGAAAATTTTGAAAATAAAACAATTCTTAGGCGATTCGTCGGGCAATCTTTAGCCAAAAGCAGAAAAAACCAAAAGCCGATTACGACGAAGAAACGTTTCACGATCCGTACTCATCTGGAAGAGGTAAATCATGAATTCTTGCTTAAAAGAGATGATTATTTGAATGAATTTTGATGTTTTTTCTTTACCCAAACCCAATTTACTTAGTTATTTACAAATTTTTTACAATTTTTTACAATTTTCTTTGATTTTTATGGAGTTTCGAGTTGAAAAAATCCGTTTTTGAATGAAAAAATCCGTTTTTGAATGAAAAAATCCGTTTTCGAACAAGTTTTCTATAAGTTTTCTATAGTTTTCTCTATTGAATTGATTGTTTGATTTTACATCTTGAGTTATAGACCATCTAAGTTGATCAACTCTTCCAGGTAGCTAGTTCAACTTTGACCGAGATTTTCTCTATGTTCTTACAGATGAATATACAAAACAAACTCGACTTTTCTATAGCCAAATTTCATGAAGATTCTTTTAAAAGCAACTAAAAGTCCATTCAACTGCTATACCTCGAGTTCTAGACCATCCAAGCTGATCGACTTTTCCAAGTAGGTAGTTCAACTTTGACCGAGATTTTCTCTATGTTTTTATATCTGAGTTTACAAAACGAACCCTACTTTTCTATAGCCAAATTTCATGAGGATTATTTTAAAACAAACCTGAAGTCGATCTGATACTTGGAAGTCGAGTTATTGAATAAAATAGACAAGTGCGCTAAAGTCATCATTTACATTCAATAAATATAAATAATTCATTTAAAGAGAAATAATTATAATAGAATCGATCGAATTTTGTAATTATGTAATTATAAAAAGATTTTTAGAAGACACTGATGCGGAAGCGAGAAGAAAATCGACAATTCCACGAGCGCCTTTGAGTCAGAATTTGAAAATTAATCTTTTTAAAGTTAAATTTGAATCAAAAATTATTGTTTGAAAACAAAAGATTACAAAAATTGATGTTAGAATGGTTAGAATGGTTAGAATGGGTTTAAATGGGTTTAAATGGCTTTTAAATCGCCTCCAATTCAGATGTGAGTGCTGCTCGTCGCACTGTGAGTGAGGTCACTGCTCCGGGCGTCTCGTTCAGCATTGATTCACAGGTTTTTCACAAGATACTTATTCAATTAAGTTCTACGTTTTTATCTACTAAATACTAGAAAAACCTTATTAGTTTATTTATTATGTGATCAGCAAAAAGCCAGACAAACTAGAACTAGAAAAACTAGAACAAAAAAACTAGAACCAGAAAAACGGCTGACACCTGGTTTTTCTGGCTTTTCGGCTAGCCAATATCTTTTAAGAATTGGGTAATTGAGTTTAATTCACTGGCGCAGTCGTTTAAGAGCGCATTTTTCTGATCAAAAGTTGCTGTCAAAGGCGTAGACAGGACTCACTCTAACGGACGTCACTCTAACGACCGGACCTCCTCGAGACTACCCCCAATCAATTTCCGATCAAGGGATTATATTCTTTAAAGATTTCAGACTACAAAACTGTCTAAGCAGTTTTTTGAAAAAATTCAAAGACCTCAAGATTTTTGCATTTTAGTGCAAAAATTTCGATAAAACGAGTTTTTAGGCATGAATAATCCATTTTACAAAGTTAATGCTATGATTTTCGGAAAGTTGAGGAAATTTAACTAGGTGGGCAATATAATAAACAATATAAAAAACAATTGGCCATCTAGTTTTCGAAATTTTCGCATTTGAAGTTAGCCGTTTTCACTTTTTTGAGTTTTTTCAATTTTTGATCGCGAAACTCTTGAGCTCTTTGAATTTTTTCAAAAAACTATTTAAACAGTTTTGTAGCCTGAAATCTTTGAAGAATATAATTCCTTGGTCGGAAATTGATTGGCGATAGTCTCGAGGAGATCCGACCGTTAGACTGAAAGTCACGAAATCCTGTCTACGCGTGTCTGGTTGCTGTCACCATCGTGTCGTCGACAGCGCGCTTGGCTATAGCCCAATCGATCCTGGTTCGACCCCCCCGTTGTGCCACTTAACTTGAAATTTTTGAATTTTTTATATCAAATAACAGAACTATATTATATTTTGAGACTTTTAAAGAGATTTCGGTTTTTTTTTTGTTATAAAGACGGCTGAGTAAAAGCCCGTACGGATTAGTCTGGGATTTAAAAGTCTAGGAGTCGCGGGAGCCCTTAAAGTCTGGGATTTAAAAGTCTAGAAGTCTGGGAGTCTTTAAAAGTCTGGGATTTAAAAGTCTAGAAGTCTGGGAGTCCTTAAAAGTCTGGGATTTAAAGGTCTAGAAGTCTGGAAGTCTTTAAAAGTCTGGGATTTAAAAGTCTAGAAGTCTAGGAGTCCTTACAAGTCTGGGATTTAAAAGTCTAGAAGTCTAGGAGTCCTTACAAGTCTGGGATTTAAAAGTCTAGAAGTCTGGGAGTCCTTAAAAGTCTGGGATTTAAAGGTCTAGAAGTCTGGGAGTTCCTAAAAGTCTGGGATTTAAAAGCTTTCAGACTGGAGAAGGTCATTCGGGCAGCTCATCGCCGATCAAAGAAACAATGGAGAATCTGGCAGCTATGGTTATTGAGGTGAGTTTAGAATTTAGAAAATAAGAAATAACATATTCTATAGATAAATTATAGTTTAATTTCCAGGAAGAGTTAGACGAAGAAGAGCAAGAAACGGAAACGCGTAAGAAAATCCGGGCTCGGATGAGAGCGAGTCGGTTGTATCAATGTAAGTTGAGGAAAGTTTTGTTAAACATTCAATTTCTAAACAATTCAAAACAATTCTAAAGATTTCTAAACAATTCTAGACAATTCTAGACAATTCTAGACAATTCTAGACAATTCTAAACAATTTTCACGTTTTAATATCGAATTCAAAGTCAATTCCAGATTACATTTTCATCAAAGAATGGCTGAGGGATTTGTGGCGTTTTAATCTAATGTTTTGCGATGCAGTGATCGAGTCAACAATTCAAAATTTGATGATACTAAGCAGGGATTATCGGTTTGTTTAATCTAAAGGATAAATTTCTCAAAAAAATTCAAAGAAAAACTAAACTATTATAATCATTTGATAGCGTTGAACCTTCTCTTGAAATCTACTATCAATTTATCAAGAACTTTCTGTGAAATGTATAACTAAAGTTCTTAAAAACGAGTTAACACGAGGAAATCATCGTCATTAGTAAAGCTTATGTCATTAGTCGTCATTAGTCTCACTACAGTACGTTTCGTACAAGTACTACAGTACTACACTGTAGTACTTGTACTGTACAAGGACTACAGCGTACTGTACAAGGACTACAGCGTACTGTACAAGGACTACAGTGTACTGTACAAGGACTACAGCGTACTGTACAAGGACTACAGCGTACTGTACAAGGACTACAGCGTACTGTACAAGGACTACAGTGTACTGTACAAGGACTACAGTGTACTGTACAAGTACTACAGCGTGCTGTACAAGTACTACAGTGTACTGGACAAGTACTACAGTGTACTGGACAAGTACTACAGTGTACTGTACAAGTACTACAGTGTGCTGTACAAGTACTACAGCGTGCTGTACAAGTACTACAGCGTGCTGTACAAGTACTACAGTGTACTGGACAAGTACTACAGTACTACACTGTACGAAACGTACTTGTGAATTCGTCACTACAGTACGTTTCGTTTTGAATGTGTTACTCAAACTCAAACTTTAAAAAAAACGTTCAGATATGTGGCTAAAATCTTGACAACGGAGAAACGGTTGCACAAAGAGTTGGCTGATGAATCGGTGAGGAAATTTGAGAATTGAGAAATCGAAATTGAAAGAAATTGAAAGAAATTGAAAGAAATTGAAAGAAATTGAAAGAAATTGAACGAAAAACCTTGATTTTAGGATGACGAACGATTGCTATCTGCGGTGCAATTGGAGAGAAAGAGAAGCTTTTTGAAATTTCAGGTACCGTTTAATCGCGTTTAATTAGATGAAAAGTGATTTTAGATCGAAAATCGAAAAGCCTCGACAGTCGTCGGGATTGAGGATCAAGATATGCAAAAATTACATAATGCAATTGAAGCGGAAAGCACGTTAGTTTCAATTATTGTCAAAAAAAACAAAAAACGAAAGCACGTTAGTTTCAATTATTGTCAAAAAAAACAAAAGAGCTTTTAAAAAAAGCTTTTCAGGAAAGAGGCGAACATCATCGATTTGTTGGATAACACAGAGATTTCGGAAAAAGAATCGATCATTCCGAAGGTGGATTTAAAGTTTATATGGATTTACATCTCAATATAGGGACAATTTTTGTACTAAAAGATCGTACTACAATACCGTAATACATAACCGTACTATAATACCGTACTATAATGCCGTACTACATAACCGTACTACATAACCGTACTACTAGACCGTAATATAATACCGTACTACAAAAGCGTACTCCAAGCCCGTACTACAAGACCGTACTATAATGCCGTACTACATAACCGTACTACAAGACCGTACTATAATACCGTACTACATAACCGTACTACATAACCGTACTACAAGACCGTACTATAATACCGTACTACATAACCGTACTACATAACCGTACTACAAGACCGTACTACAATACCTTTAAATTCCCAAATTCCAGTCTGACATCCAAAGTGAATACAAATTGATTCGTTTAATTCGCGCTTTCTACTATGCGTTGATGTCGAAATCGGAATTTCTTTGCTATTTAATGATCGTGCTCAATCATATGAGGTGAGAAAAAGAAATAAGTGACGACACTCTATAGACTGTCCCAGTCATCGAACGGATGACTGAATTGGATGACTTAAAAAGAATGGCTTTGCTTTAAATCAAGCAAAACCCCAACCAATACGTCTAGTGTTGTCCTGGATTTGTATAGCACACAAATAAGAGCTCCTTTTCAGCACAGCGTCAATGCTTTCAATGCCGCTTCCCTTAATGACCCTTCTCTGGGGAACACTCACCGTTCCCCGGCCTACAAAACGCTTTTGGATCACAATCATCACATATACCGAAGTAAAAGATCGATAAAAATAAGTAATTATTGAAAATTAGGTGATGGTTGTCGCGAAAACGATCTTTCAATTCGGTTTTTTTCCATGGAATGGCCAGACATCAGTCGATCCGATGTGGCCGCCAAGATTGTTGGGAATTGGTGCTTGTTTAGACTTCAAATATATATATATGTCGTAGCAAAATTCAGCCGCTAACGAATGAGGCTATTTCAATTCATCCAATCAAAAAGTCACCCACATAAAAAATGTTCATAATACATATATTTTATAATAAATTTTTGAAATTAGCTCATTTGGTTCAGTAGAAAATTTTTTTTGAGCCCCCAAAGTTTAGGTTCAAAAATGGCTATAAAAAATTTTCTACTCAGCCAAAAAACTTGTCTAATAGCTTATTTTGTAGCCAATTTGATGTAGATTCTTAAAGTAAAGCTACATTCCACATTTGTTTTTCAAAGCTAGGAGAAAGAGGGCGAGGAACGACTTCAGTTGAACTCGGTCGCTGTTTTCACATTTGAGAATTGCCCTGAATTTGTTCCTCGCCCTCTTTCTCCTACTTTCAACGAAAAATTGTTTTAAATGGCTTTACTTTAAGAAACTACATCAAATTGGCTACAAAATGAGCTATTAGACAAGTTTTTTGGCTGAGTGGAAAATTTTTTATAGCCATTTTTAAACCTAAACTTTGGGGGCTCAAAAAAATTTTTCTACTGAACCAAATGAGCTAATTTCAAAAATTTATTATAAAATATATGTATTATGAACATTTTTTATGTGGGTGACTTTTTGATTGGATGCCCGGAAATAGCCTCATTCGTTAGCGGCTGAATTTCGTAAACGGCTATGACATACAGGGTGCGTCATAATTATTGCAACAAGATACTCAAGGCATTGCACACCAAGAAGTTTCACTGGAAGAAGATTTTTAAACAGAAATAGCTTTATTTAACAGTAACAAATAAGGAAACAAGAGATCATTCGATATGACCGCCTTTTGCCTTGATAACAGCCCTTAATCGGTTCGGATATGCCTCCACTCCGGCCCGAATGTCATCTTGAGGAGTCGCCTTCCATCCTTTGGTCAAAGACTTCTTCAAAGAATCCAAACTTGTGTGTTTTCGAGAGCAGACATTAGCCTCTAAGATTGCCCAAATGGAAAAGTCCATCACATTGAGATCCGGTGAGTTTGGAGGCCATTCATCCTTGGTGATCACTGACACTGGCCATTCATCCTTGGTGATCACTGACACTGGCCATTCATCCTTGGTGATCACTGACACTGGCCATTCATCCTTGGTGATCACTGACACTGGCCATTCATCCTTGGTGATCACTGGCCACACACCACTCCTGAACCGTCTTCTTCATGTGAGCGGGAGGCAATTAGGCAAGAATAAAGAACGCAACACAACAAAAAAGGGGGCAAAAAAAATAAGAAAGCTGTTTGGAAAACGGTCTTTGAACTCTTGTTGCAATAATTATGACGCACCCTATATATAACTTTAAAAAAAACCTAATAAACTAAACTAACAATAAAACGATTCAATTTCAATCAGAATTTCCTTCAGAATTTGAAAGTTTTCTTTTAGAAAAACGCGACAAATATGCGGCTTGGGATTTAGCGTTGCTGATGTGCGTTTTCTTTCATCGTTCGATCTTGATGGTAAATTTGAAGAAAGTAAAAGATATTTAAGCAATTAAAGAGCTTAAAGAGCTTAAAGAGCTTAAAGAACTTAAAGAACTTAAATATTAATCAATTTTCAATCGATTTTCAATAGAAATTGATTAGTTTATTGAAAATTTCTTTATTCTAATCGTTTTTTATTGAAAACCAAGCCGATGAAAGGCTTGAACTAAGCCAGTAACTTCAAATTTTAGATTAAATACATTTTCTGTTTTCTGTAAACAATTTTGACTTTTTCCTTAACCAATTGAAATTTTTTAATTAAAATAAGTAAAACAGTTAAGAATTAATTAAATTTTCATCAAAAATCTCAATCTTCCCTTTCCCTAATTGACAAAAACCCCCCGCGAACACGCCCTCACATCAGCCCGGTTAGCTCAGTCGGTAGAGCACCAGACTCTTAATCTGGCTGTCGCGGGTTCGAGCCCCGCATCGGGCTTTGATTTTTGAAATCATCACATTTTTAGAGTCTAGTTTTTCTAAATTCTTTTGAAACATTGACATCAAGTAGAGACACAATTTTCTGTCATTTCCCAGGCTAATTTTCTGTCATTTCGATTTTCGAAGTGACTCTTAATCAAAGCTTTGTCTAATTGATCAAACAATCAATCAAATCAATCAATCAAAACAATCAAATCAATCAATCAAATCAATCAATCAATTAAATTTAGAATTAGATGTTTATAAACATTCATTTTTTTAAGGCAAACGGCTTATGGGAACCGCAAATCAGTGAAGCGGAGATCATGCGGAAATTGGAAAGGAAAAGGCTGAAGGTTTGTGGGGAAAAGAGTTAGATAAAAAGTTCGATAAAAAGCTAGATAAACAATCTTAAATCCTTATTTATTTTTAAATAATCTATATAAGATTTTCTTCTTTTCAAAGCAAACCTTTCTCTAGCCGATTAAAGCTCGCTCAGTGTCAAGGTATTTTGAGGTTTGTGCAATCCAGAAATCCAGATTTTGTCAAGTATTGGTGTGAAAAGTGAAAAAAAACATTTCAACTTTTAATTAACTTTTAATTAAGATCAAAAATTGCAGGTTGAATCAGCGGCCACCTCGAGACGGCCCTCGATTGCTACTCTGGCTTCGGAGTTGAGAAGTACCTCGGATTTGAGACACATTGCCGAGTTGGGAAGGGAGAGGCTGAAGAATCGGTGCGTGAGTTCGATTTTCGGAGCATTTTGATGGATTTGCGCTTTGCATATTCAGCTATCGTAAGCTCACAAGATCTTTATCTTAATCTTAGTCTACCGTAACTGTCAGAGATCGGGTTACGGTAGGTTAGCAAAGCCCTATCTTGTCTGTAACCTACCGTAACCAGTCAAGATTGAAGGCTGGGTTACGGTAGCTTATCTGTCTGTAATCTTGTCTGTAACCTACCGTAGCCAATCAAGATTAAAAGCTAGGTTACAGTAGGTTACAAATCACGATATCTGGGCTACGGTATCTTGACCGGATTACAGGGTTAAAGGCTTTATAGATAGCTCTTAGATTTTCACGTTTCCATTCAAATTTTAACAGTAATCTTTAAGATGATAGAAGCCTGGATTACGGTAGATTCAAAAGTTAAACGCTGAGCCTTTCGATTCCGATCATTCTGTGCTGCTTTTGATCAATTCGAATCTTTTATTTAGATCAATTTATTTTTAAAGTGCACTTGAATCAAAAAAACCACAAATTTCTGTACAAATTGAAAGCAAAATCACCCGTTAAAAGTTTGCAAAAAGCACAAAAGAAAAGCCTAAGCCTAAGCCTAAGCCTAAGCCTAAGCCTAAGCCTAAGCCTAAGCCGAAGCCTAAGCCTAAGCCTAAGCCTAAGCCGAAGCCAAACCCAAAGCTTAAACGGCAATAAAATCGAAATTTTCTCGCAATGTGAACAAAATTCCGTTGACAATCAGCGAGCTCGCTGTCCACATCAAACGCAACGTTGAACCCTAAAATTCATAAAAATAAGAGAAAATCTTAAGCTTTCCTTATTTCCTTAAGCTTTTATTGATCTTTTTCCTTTTAAAAATCGAAATCCCTTACCGTTTGCCGGTCTCTTTTCAACTCAAAAAGTCGTCCACAAGGCCGATGCTCGTTGTCCAATAAAATTTTCGTCTCAAACTTTTGACCACTATAATAGATTAGATTTATTGGTTTCTAGATTAGCTTAGCTATTTCTAGATTAGATTTATCTATTTCTAGACTAGATTTATCGATTTCTAGATTAGATTTATCGATTTCTAACTAAGTAGCTTTTAATTAGATCCTCTTTTTTTGCCTTTACTCACCTAAAAACGAGAATCTCATTCAATAAATCCGTTTTACAGGGAATATTCCAGCCAAGATTTGCGTCGAAATCACGAGCTCCTTTTAGGAAATCCTAAATTTATCAATATCAAATTTATCAATATCTATTCAATTCTTGATTTATAACCTACCGTAATCAAGCCTTTCAATGTCTCATTGTTGATTTCTATTGGGATATTTGTCGAGAAAAACGGAGCCTTAATTGAAGTGAGACAAACGGAGGGAAGAGGAGATTTTGAAGCGCTTTTTCGGAACACCATCACATCCAATTCTGTGGTTGATCTAAAGGAAACGTTGAAAAATGAAATTAACTAGCTTTTAGTCTTCAAATAATAGCACTACTTTAACAAGTGAAGACTATTTTAAGCATAAAACAAGTGTACAAGTGATCAAGTGAACTAGCTAAACCATTCAACTATTCACAAGGTTCAAGTGAATTTTAAACGTACTCTAAAATACTTTAAAATATCAAGGATTCTTTTAAAAGCAATCCAGGCATACATTGAGCAATCTAGACACCGTATTCTACAAAGTCATTCAAGGCTATAGTTAATTTATCGTTAAGCTAGGCGAGGCAAAGCGAAGAATAAGCTAGAGCTGGGTTTGGCTTGGATTCTTAGACTCAAATAAATCAATTGCAATTAGACAATCCTTGGACTGAATTAGAACATTCTTATAAATATCCTCGTCGTTTTTTTTTTTCAGTTTATCTCTCCTTACTTGAAAGCTTTTGTTTCATAAATCGCTTTAGTCACATGTCGATTCGTTTCTGCGCGATAAACGATCCTTTTTGGGGTGACTGAATTCAGGAATTTCTCAACGATTTTCACATTCGCACTCCCGCAATTCAACTCCAGAAATTCTAGCTAAAAAAGCTCTTTTAAACAATGGAAAAGAACTCAGACCTTGCATTGAAATCGTTGAATTTTTTGAGTGAGCTTGTAGAGAAGATCTGATGAACATTGATACTGAAAAAGGAAACTTTTATAGAAATTTGTGTACAGCTTGTACAAGTACAAATACAAGTACAAGTACAAGTACAAGCACGTACAAGTACAAGTACAAGCACGTAAAAGTACTTACAGGTACGTACAAGTACGGATACAAGTACGGATACAAGTACAAGTACAAGTACAAGTACAGGTAAGTACGTACAAGTACGTACAAATACAAGCAAGTACAAGTACGTACAAATACAAGTATGTACAAGTACGTACAAATACAAGCAAGTACAAGTACGTACAAATACAAGTATGTACAAGTACGTACAAATACAAGTATGTACAAGTACGTACAAATACAAGTATGTACAAGTACGTACAAATACAAGTATGTACAAGTACGTGCAAATACAAGCAAGTACAAGTACGTACAAATACAAGCAAGTACAAGTACATACAAATACAAGCAAGTACAAGCAAGTAAAGTACAAGTACAGTAGTAATTGTCTTAAAAAGAATAGTTGTCTTAGCCGTAAATCTTAAACTCACAATCGATAGTGAAATTGGATTGCAAGCGGACAAAATCTCGCCAAGATATTCATCGAATACTTCGTGGAAAGATCTGCAAATCTTTTTGTCAAAAATTAAGATTTATCCCATTTTCATTCCATTTTCTAATTTTCTTTTAGTTTCGAAAAAAATCCTTCCACATCATCTTTCTTTTCCTTTTAATCATCTCACAATTTCACAATTTTCACAACCACTTCACAATCCTTAGCAAAAAAAAACCCCCATAAAATCTTTTAATGATTGATTGATTGATTCGATTGATTTTATTGAGAGAAAAGAGCTATTTTTGAGAACTCTCGTTGACTTTTAAAGGTTTGAAAAGCTCAAAAAAACGAGAGAAAATGGAGAAGATGGAGAAGTTGAAGGGAAAACTTTCGAAAATCCTTTTTAATTTTTGATTTTTAGACTTCAATTTTCTTTATTGGACTTTATTGGACTTTATATTTTGTTAGATGAGTGATGGAGTCCGTATTTTCCTTTGAGAACTTATCATATGGCTTATCACAACACGTGACTCCGAAAGAATGAAATGGAAGGGAAAAATGTAAAAATGGAATGTAGACTTTTCTCTATTTTCTCTATTTTCTCTATTTTATTGGGGGATTCCCCAGGAAATGGGAAAAGAAATTCGAGAACAAATAGGAAATGATTTGATGATGATTTAAAAAATTTTGGTAATGACTAGCTGAGCTTCTCGGTTTGGGGTTTTTTTTGTCTGTGCTAGAGCCATTTTGATAGTTTATTAGTCTAAATTTGAGCAATTCGCGCACAAAATAGTCAATAGGTAGCCTAAATATTTCATCAAATGTAGGCCATGAGCCATGCCATGAGCATGAGCTTCAAATTTAGGCCATGAGCTTCAAATGTATGCCATGAGCTTCAAATGTATGCCATGAGCATGAGCTTTTCGTTTTGTTTTGTTTTTTGATGTTGAGCTTTGAAATATGTTGAAATTTTGAGTGTTCAATGGATAGAGATTGGAGGGGAAAAGGTTGGAAATATGTAAAGCTTTTAAAATTGGTTTAAAATTGGTTTAAAATAGGTTTAGAATAGGTTTAAAATTGCTTTTATAATAGGTTTATAATAGATTTATAATAGCTTTAGAAAAGCTTTAGAATAGCTTTAGAATAGGTTTAGAATAGCTTTAAAATATGTAAAGCTTTTAAAATAGCTTTAAAATAGGTTTAAAATAGCTCTAAAATAACTCTAAAATAGCTCTAGAATAGCTCTAGAATAGCTTTAAAATAGCTCTAAAATAGCTCTAAAATGGCTTTAGAATAGGTTTAGAATAGCTTTAAAATAGCTTTAAAATATGTAAAGCTTTTAAAATGGCTTTAAAATAGGTTTAAAATAGGTTTAAAATTGCTCTAAAATTGCTCTAAAATAGCTTTCATAATAGCTTTATAATAGCTTTATAATAGCTTTAAAATATGTAAAGCTTTTAAAATATTGGGTTGGGGAGAATAAGTCGGCGCCGAAAATCAAAAAAATGTCTAAAACTTCTATTCGACTTCGTCAAATAATATGCGTTTGATATGAGTAGAATGGTTAACGAATTCTCTACAAAATGACATTTAAAAGAAAATTCAAACAGCGCCTCCGCTCAAGAAAAAGCCATTTTTTCACAAAAACTACAAACTGTGATCTAGAAAAAAACCATTGGTGGGATCTTCCTGCAAATTTGGCAACTTAAGTAATTGAATGTGCTCTATCTTTTTTATATAAACACCAAAGAAGGTTTATGTGAAAGAAACTGTTCAAATGATGAGTCGGACTCTTTGCCATTTTAACCAGCTGCGTTTCGAAGTTCATAAACTCCACGAAAGAAAAGCTTTGTGGAATCTCTTAAAAGTCATTTTGTAGAGAAATAGTGGATCCTTTTGATGAAACCAAACGTATGTTTAAAGAAGGCTTTATGTGTGCAAAAAGTCCCTTTAAAGTTTGGCGCCGACTCATTCTCCCCAACCCAATAGCTCTAAAATAGCTCTAAAACAGCTTTAGAATGGGTTTAAAATAGCTTTAAAATATGTAAATCTTCGTGCAAAAAATGTACCTGACCATTACAGGGTTTTCCCTTTTCTGTACGATTTTGTACTTTTTCCAATCGCCAATCGCTGGGAATTGAATGGGAAATGATGAGAAATCAGAGGACAATCTGAAAAGGGCTTTTGAAAATTTGCATTCAATCATTTTTCATCGATCCTTTGACTCAAATATCATCGACTTTCATCGACTCAAATATTTGATTATTTGAGCCGAGTAAAAGTCAACGATTGTGAATTTGACAAGAGAAAAACATTGACTTTAAACAAATTTGCAATCGCAATCGTTAAACAAACGCGAATCTTCTTTAATTCTATTAAAAGATAAATTTCAAATTCAAATTCAAATCAAAATGAATTGAGGATCCTCAATTCATTTTTCTTTCAAGTAAACCCGATTTCTCAAAAAGTTTAAGCTAATTTTTGCCTTCAACTCACTGAAACTCTTGACTCCTCTTGAAACCGCCATTTTTCCGATCGCTTTTCCGAATTGAAATCGACATCACGTCATTCTGAAAAGGTTTTTAAATAAAAAAAAAAAACAGGACTTACATGAAGTTTTAAAGATTTATAATAGAATTTTATATAAATTTCTCTAAAATTTCTATAAATTTCGATAGATTTCTCTTAATTTCGATAGATTTCCATAAATTTCCCATATAAGTTTTATAAATCTGGTACTTGTGGAGTATCCGGGGGGTCTTTCAATATCCGGGGGGTCTTTCAATATCCGGGGGTCTTTCAATATCCGGGGGGTCTTTCAATATCCGGGGGTCTTTCAATATCCGGGGGGGGTCTTTCAATATCCGGGGGGTCTTTCAATATCCGGGGGGTCTTTCAATATCCGGGGGGTCTTTCAATATCCGGGGTCTTTCAATATCCGGGGGGTCTTTCAATATCCGGGGGGTCTTTCAATATCCGGGGGGTCTTTCAATATCCGGGGGTCTTTCAATATCCGGGGGGTCTTTCAATATCCGGGGGGTCTTTCAATATCCGGGGGTCTTTCAATATCCGGGGGGTCTTTCAATATCCGGGGGGTCTTTCAATATCCGGGGGGGGGGGTCTTTCAATATCCGGAGGGGGTAAAATTTTATATACGTTATATACGACCCCTTTTAAAGATATTCAGCTGCTTAAGTGATTTGGTGGCAAATTCCCTTCAAATGTAAAGATATTCAATTTATTGAGGTGATTACTTGATTACGTGATTCGAGGTGATGACTCGATCAAAAACGTAACTTCTACAAAATTTTTTTATGTCATTATTAGAAATGTTGATAATATCCTAGTTGGCGGCAAACATTTTCACACTAAATTGATGAAATTCTATTTAAAACGCTAAATTAACGCAAAATGCTATAATTTTAAAGGTTTAAGTTTAAGGTTTTAACAAAAGGTTAAACATTTGCCTCAAGAATTTCATTTTTAGTTACAAAGCCTATGGTAAATGTAAAATTCCACGGAATTTGCGTTAATCTATTGATCTTTAGACCATTAATCAGATCATGAGCAATATTTTCGTTCTTCTTTTAAACTCTGAAAGCGATAGGTGCAAAAGATTGATAAAAGTAGCAGAATAATCAAAAAGTTAAAAAAAAAGTTAAAATTTTACCCCCCGGATCTTAAAATTTTACCCCCCGGATATTGAAAGACCCCCCGGATACTCCACAAGTACCATAAATCTCTATAAATTCCTATAAATCTCTATAAACTTTCTCCCCACCACCTCACCTTTTCCTTATTCAAATTGATCACCAAATCGATGTCGACTTTTGCGAAATTGTATCTGAAAAAGGAAATCATTTTTCCTAGGATTCAAATTTTCAAATTCCCCCCATTTTTCATTTTCAACTCACCTATCGCCTTTCACAAATTTATGCAATCGTCGATTTGTTCGCAAAAATCTCTGCACCGAATTGTGATCCAAATGTTTAGCGATTTCCGAGAAAATCTCGGCTGGCAAATTTTGAAGAATCGCCATTTTCTGAAGATTTTCTAAAAAAAAAACTTCAACTAATCAAGCTTTTAAGCTAGATTTTTAACAAAAAGAATAGATATTCTCAAAAGAACAGATATAAATGAAACCAATTTTCCGTAGATGCCATTGAAAATTGGAGAATAATTCAAAATTTTCCAAAAAACAAAGCTCTAAAGAGGGCTACAAAATTGTCCAAAAGTCCTCAGCTTTAAAGTCTGCTGAAAATTATCTAAAAACCTCTAAAGTCAGCTCAAAAGCTCAATTTCAACTCTGAAAACCAAAGCCAAAGAAATTTCTTGTAGATTTTGATTCAAAAAGGATCAGACTCCTAAAAATAATCCCGATTTCCGGTCATTGAATAGACTTTTATACTTTTGTGAGGCAAGAGACGACAAAAAAAGTGACACAAACAACAGAAAAATGAATGGGGAAAAGGGGATGAGTCGTCATTTTTTGGCGAGGGGCGGAGTTGATAGAGAAATGATTGGGAAGGGGGGAAGATGGGGAAAGAGGGGGAAGAGGGGGAAGAGGGGAAGAAGGGGGAAGGTGGGGGAAGGAGGGGATACACTTCAAGAGATCAGGGGAAACAAATAGGGGAACATCTAGACTTAAGAGAAAACATCGTTTTGTCTGGCGAAAACATGTCTGAAGCTTTAACTCTTTCAGGGATCGATGATCAAATAATGGGCATAGAAGCCAGCCAGGTCAGCCAAGGGCAGCCAGGCTAGCCAAGGCCAGTCAAGCCAGCCAGGCTAGCCCAGGCCTTCCCAGGGATGGTCAATCAAATAATGGGCATGGAAGCCCATTATTTGATTGACCATTATTTGATTAGGCTCAGGCTCTAGATCTCAGCTCCAGAACAAAGCCAGACCTAGTTTTCCTTTGGAAAGCAAAGCAAAGAGCCTATGCAAAGCAAAGAGCCTATGCAAATCAAGTTCAAATGCCAGATTGAGACTTGACTAGCTTTATTGAGCTTTATTGAGCTTTATGGCTTGCTTCTAGCTTTATGGGCTGATCTAAGCTGAAGAAATGCCTTAATTTTAAGATCCTGGACCCGGTTGAGCATTTTTAGAGCTTTAGAAGGCTGATTGAAGCTTCTAAAGCTCTAAAAATTGAGCATTATAAGAAAAACTTTAAGAGATAAAATAGGGAAATGTAGGAAAATATAGAAACAGCTTTGGTAATGAAACATTCTTATTCACAGCTTAAATAAACGTGAAATGTGATGCCAAAGATAACCCTGAAACGATTCATTCAGCCAAACCAACTGACTCCTTGCAATCACATTTTTTTCTCTTTCATTTTTTGACGAAAGGGGTTTCCCAAGTCGTTTCTTGCTCTCTTGACAAGACCATTGAAACAATCTTTTTATCTTTTAGCAGAAATTTGTAGATAAACAACCAAAATGACAGAGAACAGGAACAGAATTTGTTTGTTTTTCTCGTTAGCGTTTGAGTTTAATATGGTTTTTCAATCTCTAACTAAATTGCTTTTGGTTTTTAAATCTAGAAACTAATGCAGTGGTTTATCTTTATTGATCAGATAGATTAGATAGATTAGATAGATTAGATAGATTAGATAGATTCAAGCTAGACTTTTAAGTCGATTTTTTGCAAATCAAAGAACAATGGGAAGAGAAAAGTTGAAAAAGTTTCAGTTTATTCATTAACCATTCACTATTTGAATGTATAACACTAATAGTTTAAACTCAAAGACAAGGGAGTTACAGGCGCGCGTTTTTCAAATATGATATTTCATTGTCCAGTAGTGTACCATTGACTAGTTTTGATCAAAACAAAAAAGCCAAAAGTCTAGCTGAGGTAATGACTCTCAATTGATCTTGGCCTGGAAATTCAATCATATTCTTTGCCTAAAACCTTTGCTTGTCTTTTTCGTGAATCCTTTTGACTTTTTTATTATCTAAGAATGAAATAATCATTATATCTCGTCAATACTCTAATAGAATTTTCATATAGAAGCAGTCAAAGCATTGCGTAGTCTAAAAACATTCAAAGAATATTGATTCCTGAACACTTAAATACTAAATTAAAGCAGATTTGGTTCCTTTTCGATACAGATTTGGTTCCTTTTCAGAACTGATAAACATAAATATTCTAAAATTAACCAGTGCTTTAAAAAATGATAAATTAATTAAATTGCCTTTTGTCTAAACAAATTAGACTCTATTTCAATGATCTTTTTGCTATTGAGAATCATTTTCTATAAGAAAAGTCCCAGAATAACAAAGCGCTTTTGCTATTTTGAGAAAAGCTAAGTTTTAAACTCTAAAATAAACACAAACACAATGTTTGGTGAGTTAAAAAAGAAGAAAGAAGAACTAATTGAAAGTTTGAAAAGAAAAGAAAAGCAAAAGGGAATTAGGGAGATTTTAAAATATGTATAAAGAAAAGGAAAGCGAATCAATTGCACCCAATGGTTGAGAACGGTTGAGGTTTTCCCGTTCACGTGTCAAATCAACGACCTTCACGCGTTTTTAATCGAGATCAAACACTCAAATCAAACACTCGATTTTTATGTTTACAATTTTTTGTATTTTTAGAACATTTAAAGAAGATTATTTAAAGAAGATTATTTAAAGAAGATCATTTAAAGAAGATCATTTAAAGAAGATCGTTTAAACAAGATAATTTAAACAAGATAATTTAAACAAGATTATTTAAAGAAGATCATTTAAAGAAGATTATTTAAAGAAGATCATTTAAAGAAGATGATTTAAAGAAGATCATCTAAAGAAGATCATTTAAAGAAGATCATTTAAACAAGATCATTTAAACAAGATCATTTAAACAAGATCATTTAAACAAGATCATTTAAAGAAGATCATTTAAAGAAGATTATTCTTAATAATTATTAAGAGAAATTCTTTCTAAAACGAATCAATTTCCCCGTAAACTATCGTAGTCTTGTGATAGACTATCGTAAACTATCGTAGTCTTGTCACAAGTTCTTCTAAATGTAGCTTTTACGGTTCTTCTAAATGTAGCTTTATCTGAGGAAACGATAGCTTACTCATAAAACACTGGAATTCGAAATAGACGTGCAGGATTGTGAGTCGAAGGAAGCACCAATGCAGTATCGAGTTGATCAAGGAAATCTTGATAAACAAAATCTTCTATAAAATCTTTTATAAAATCTTTTATAAAATGTCGTAATCTCAATAAATTTTCGATTTAGAATGAACAAAAATGTGGGCGCTTTGCGAATGTTTTTCGGGACCTTATTAACGCCAGAAGGTCGAGCGATTCCATGTGATCACTATGCGCCAATGTTCATCGCTGATATCACTTGCTTTCTCATTATTATCTTCGGATATTCGAGCTTTGGAGTAAGTAAAACTGTTCATTTGCTTTGTCTCCAAAAATTCAAAAAGCTAAAACCCTTTCTAGCATTCTCAATTTATCAGAAACAACAGAAAGAACTCTTACCTGAAAAAGTCTTTAAAAAAGTACAAAGCTTAAAATGTACTCGTGCTCAAAATGTACTCGTGCTCAAAATGTACTTGTGCTCAAAATGTACTTGTACCCAAAATGTACTTGTGCTCAAAATGTAAACATCTCCTTTCTAATGCACAGTGAAAGAGCTAGTAGATTAGAAAGAGTGCGGTCCGGTTTTGAGCACAAAGTACACCACTAAAGAATGAGTTTTCTTCTGTCTTAATGTCATTTTCACTTTCTCGTTTAATCTTTCTACGAGTGACGTCATTTTTCCGTCATCGTTTCCTCATTTCATGATGTCATTTCACATGATATCATTTCAAAAAAGGAAAATCGAAAAGACATAGATCAAACGATTTGAAAATGAAATCCAAGATCTATTTAATTGAAGAACTTTAGACACACTTTAATTGAAAGAACTTTAGACAGACTTTAATTGAAAGAACTTTAGACACACTTTAATTGAAAGAACTTTAGACAGACTCTTCGGGCGGTGATGTCACGGCATACTTCTCAGAGAATAAGGTAAGCTAAAGTGTTTTGAAAAATGAAATTGACCTTGAAAACATCTTCAATACTTCTAGCCTTTATATCTATCTAAAATTTTGATTTTAGATCTATCTAAAATTCAAATTTTAGATTTGATATAAAGGCTAGAAAAACGTAATCAGATGTACAGTCTAAATTAACTTTAGATAGATTTTAGATAGATCTAAAAGGTGTACAGTCTAAATTATCAATGCAAAGTCTAAATTAACCGCAATCAGATGTACAGTCTAAATTAACTGTACATCTGATTCGACTGTGCATCTGACTACGGTTCATCTGATCTGTTTAAGTTTGATCTAACTTTGAGCTCAAATATCTCGGTGTTGGGCTGTTGAATTGAAATAATTTTTGTACCAATTGATAGAGAAAGACTTGGCGCATCTAATGATGTCAAGAATATGTCAAGAATATTGAAATTGAATAGCCCAAAATGCAACCACGAAAGAGGAATCCGCAAATTACCAAATTACCCAAATTCACCGACCCAATAACTAAAATTTGTGAAATCGAGGAGTCAAAAACAATGAAATACAACGATTTGAGCACCTTTTTTTGACAGAAATTTGTCTTTCACGTCAAAAGAAAAAAGATAAAGAATAAAAAGTGAAGCAGATCGATAAATTTTCATAATAATCAAGCTATTCTTATTCTTTTTTCATTGGGATTTCCCGGGAAAAGAAAAGAAAGAAAAGAAAAGAAAAGCAATGAAGAAGAATTCCCGGGCACTCTCGTCTCAATGCTGATCATTCAATTCGTCCTGATCATTCAATTCCCGATTTTGCTTCAAAGCGGACTCAAATTTCCTTTAAAATGAGCTAAATGAAAGAAAAATCGTTGATGATTTTTGACGCTTATCAGCTAATTTCTTTTTTTCATTGAAAAAGATGTACAAGTCTTTACGGGTAAATCTAAAGCGATTCTTTAGGTACCGGGCACTCTCGTCTCAATGCTAATCATTCAATTCGTCCTGATCATCTTTGATCGAGCACTCTTTTTACGCAAATTTCTCATTGGAAAGATTTTCTTTCAAGTAATTTCAAGTCTTTTATTTAAGAATTCATTTTCTAAATGAATTCATTTTCTTATTAAATTCATTTCCTTATTAAATTCATTTCCTTATTGATTTCCAGATTTTCTTAATCATCTTTGTGCATATTTGGATGTTTTTCTATTTGCCCGCTGCCACTGATCGACTCTTCATCAACAACACAACGTGCAAATTTTGGTACTTCAGTAAAGTGATCTACTTTATCATATCAGCGAAACAGGTGAATAAAAACAATAAATTTAGCATTTTGTGTATAGGAATTGTTCTGGTGAACTTAAATCTTCATTTTTAGCCATTATTGCCTTTCTTTTAAGGGAAATTCTTTAATTAAAAGCTTAAATTCATCGCTCTAGTGCACTTGGACATTCATTTTTCTTACAGCAACACATTAAGTGTACCAGAAAGGATTTGTTTCAAAGACATCAAAGTATTATAAAGGCTACGGTAGCTTTAAGGCTTTAAAATTGTAGATTACGGTTGACTAAAGTCTAGACTGAAGGTCGACTAGACTCTAGAACAGACTCTAGAAGAGACTCTAGAACAGACTCTAGAACAGACTCTAGAACAGCCCTGGAACAGACTCTAGAACAGTTAACTCCCTCTAGAGTAACGGAGATCAAGTGCATTGTGGTGTTAGCACAGTTGATCGGTACGGGAATGATTGTAGGTTCGAGTCCTGGTGGCGCACAAGCTTTTGATCTGCCCTAGTTTGACCTGCCCTAAAGCTAAGCTCTAGATTAAGGTAGACTTTAAAGTACTGTAGATTTAAAACAATTGAATACTGTTAATCTGTTCCCTCTCTTTCTTCCTCCCTTCTTCCTTTCTTCTTCCTTATCTTTCCTATTTCTTCTTGAGAAGGCGCTAATAGCTCAGTGGTAGAGAATCTTCCTGGTAAGCAGAAGATTGACGGTTCGATTCCTCGCCATTCCTTTATTGATACATCTTTCCAATTTCTATTTCAGATCCGATCCGGTTACCCGAAACGAAGCATTGGAAATATTATGACTAATTCGTATTCGAGAATCAATTTGTACCTATATCAATTGTGAGTTATCTATTATCTATAAAGATCTGTCTGTCTGTCTGTTTGTCTGTCTGTTTGTCCGTCTGTTTATCCGTCTGTTTGTCTGTGTGCGCTACTTCTCAACCCCCAAAGGACCGTTTGCAATGATTTTTGCACGGTTGAATAGAGAATTAAATGTAGTTGTACAACGTGCTTTTGGGTTTTTTAAAAAGCACAATTCGAGCGGCACGGGGAGGTCAAACCCGGATCGTATTGGCGATAGACCGGCGCACTATCCACTGCTCCAAAGCCAAAGCTGTTAGCCAAAGCTGTTAGCCAAAGCTGTTAGCCAAAGCTGTTAGCCAAAGCTGTTAGCCAAAGCTGTTAGCCAAAGCTGTTAGCCAAAGCTGTTAGCCAAAGCTGTTAGCCAAAGCTGTTAGCCAAAGCTGTTAGCCAAAGCTGTTAGCCAAAGCTGTTAGCCAAAGCTGTTAGCCAAAGCTGTTAGCCAAAGCTGTTAGCCAAAGCTCTCCCCAAAACATCCAAAAAACCCGCCGTTAAGCGTTCTCGTCTGGTTAGCAAATAATTAAAGTTGATGATCTTTCTAGATTCATGATGGTTCCTTTCCTTTTCGAGCTGCGTTGTTTAATGGATTGGATCTGGAAAGATACTGCTCTTGGTGAGATTTTTTTAACTTTAAACTTTAGATATTTGAAGTTAGAGCTTGTTTAGAGCTTGTTTAAAGCTTGTTTAAATTAAAATTTTCATTTTGTCGGTTTGTAAAGATGAAAATGGAAAGCATTTTTCGAGAAAACATTTAGAAGAGAAAATCGCGCACTAAAATCCACTAAATATCATAATCCGATTTTTTGTTCTGCAACTTTAGCTAATTTTAATCTATTTAATCTATTGATTCTATTGATTCTATTGATAAATAAAGTTGAATTCAACTTTATTTATTTCTTTTAATGGCTTTAATTGCTTTAAATTGCTTTAATTGATTCTAATTGCTTTAATTCCTTTAATTCCTTTAATTCCTTTAATTCCTTTAATTCCTTTAATTCCTTTAAAAGCAAGGTAGAAAGCAAAACTATCGTAGAAATTGCGCAAAAGTAAGAAAAGGAAATGATTTTTGGTGGATTATGGTATTTAGTGCGACCTTTAAATGTTTACTTGCCATTAAAGATGAAATATTCCTATTATTCAGATGTCGGTGACTGGTTTCTTTTCAATGAGATCTTCTCTCATATCTCGATGTTGAAATGCTCTCAAAAAGTCAATCAAGAACAGGTTTTTTTTCTTTTAAAACTTGAGCTTTTTAAACCAAGTTAATTTTCATCAAAAAAACTATTTTAGATTGAATCGAAAAGCTCAAAGAAAGTCTCTCTTGAGAAATATGTGAAGGGCGGGATTTTGTTGGTGATAATAGGTGAATGTTTGCAATTATTTCGATGAATACAGTAATTTATTCATCACAGAATACTGTATTTTATAAAAACTATGTACTATTTTCAATTAACATTTCAATTTTCAGTTTTCCTCATCTGGTTTCCACTTGTGCTCTTCTCGATGGCGAACACAGTCGGCTTTCGGAGTCTTCCCGTTGAGTGCTCCGTTCAGTTAACGATTTCTGGATTTCAGGTAGATCAAAGTGTTTAAGTAGATTAGAATTTGCAATTCTTGAAGCTCATTTGCTAATTTGTAATTGCTGATGATAAAATACCAAATATAAATCGGTAAAGCAAACCGGTTTCCTGCAGATTCAAGTAGCCCAAAGAAAAGTTTACGATCGATCACACTAAGATCGGTCTTGTGTGGCAAAGAATGATGAATTGAAGACTTGACCCTTATCTCTCTGAATTTGGTTCCTTATCTCTCTAAATTTGGTTCCTCGTCTCTCTAAATTTGGTTGCTTATCTCTCTAAATTCTAAAACTGGAAAAGTTAGAATAAACCGGATGACAAATCCGATCATTGCCAGAAAGAAAGACCACTTTGAAGTACTAGAAAAGTTACTCGAAATCCAGAAGAAAAGCTGAAAAGCTAGCCTGCCATTATCTTGCTTTTCTTTGTTTTGTTTAATCTAGCTTAAACGTCTTATAATATTAGAAAATCTCTAACTCTAACTATAGCTTTGAAAGCTTAAAAGCAGATGAAACTATTCAATTCTTAAACATCAATCGATCAACAAAATTTCAGCCTTTGTACGAATCAACAGCTCAACTTGGAAACATTCGTCATCTTTCCGAGGAAGAGTACGAGAGATTGCAATTCCCGTATAGACTTAGCAAAGTACAGAAAGAATCAAACTTAAATAACTATCAAATTTAGGGAGCTCAATCGTACATGTCGGACTACGAGTGTGAGGATGTCGTTAAAGCAGAGGTATCCCCATAACTTTATCCCCATAACTTTATCCCCATAACGTAGAGATATGCCCATAGCGTAGAGGTATCCCCATAACGTATCCCCATAGCTTTATCCCCATAACTTCATCCCCATAACGTAGAGGTATCCCCATAGCGTAGAGGTATCCCCATAACGTATCCCCATAACTTTGTCCCCATAACTTTATCCCCATAACTTTGTTCCCATCACGTAGAGGCATCCCCATAGCGTAGAGGTATCCCCATAACTTGTCTTGCAAAACTCTTGTAAAACTCTTCTAAAACTCTTCCAAAACTCTTCTAAAACTCTTCTAAAACTCTTGTAAACTTCAAATTCAGATAAATGGCAACTCGACATCTCGTTGGATGATCAGGCACGATTTTTGAATCAATATTCTTCCTATAATTATTATAATCACTATTTTTTTTCAGTCCTCCATCTCGACAAGCGCTCATCGCTCAACTCGAACATCAACCAAAAGTCGACTTTAAGTTTAGCTGGTTTTTTAAGAGGTTTGTAACTTCAAAGTGCTTGAGAACTTTGGATTTTCGACTTTATTGATCATCTAGAACTAAAATTGGATGCAAATTTAATGGCTAATCCATTGATCACTTTATATCGATGAGTTTCTGCATAATCATTGAGCTAAACACAAAACTGGGTACATAATCAAGTAAATTTGGCTTTAAATCCGAACAGAGACCCCCAAAACGTTCAAATCCGACAGTTATTGTAGTACAAAGTGATTAGATTACTGTAGCTATTTGATCTCTAACTGTTTACGATAGCTTACGGCCTATGGTAGCTTACGATAGTTTTTGGCTTACAATAGCTTACGGTAGCTTACGGCTTACGGTAGCTTACGGCTTACGGTAGTTTATGACTTACGGTAGCTCATGGCTTACCGTAGATTATGGCTTACGGTAGCTTATGGATTACGGTAGCTTATGGCTTACGGTAGCTTATGGATTACGGTAGCTTATGGATTACGGTAGCTTATATCTTACCGTAGCTCATGGCTTACAATAGTTGATAATCTAATTTCAAAAACCACCAGCTTCAACTATACCTAAAGAAAAAAAAACGAACCAACGTCTATTTGAGCCCTCTTTTCCCATCCCTTCCCACTCTCTGCTTGGCCGAGTGGCTAGCATGTTTCTTTCCAACGCACTGAACCGGGGTTCAATCCCCCGTTGGCACACGAGATGCAGACGAGTCATCAAAGCGATTCGGATGTTTGACTAATGTGCCGAGAAAGTCCCTGTGTAACGTCAGCTTGTTTCTATCTTGAGATATGAGCATCAAAATTGGACAGTACATTTTTGAGATTCAAGACAATTGTTTCTTTAAGATCTTCTTTCTTTAAGCTCTTTTTTCTATAAGAAAGATAAACTATCTTTTAAATTTTCAAATCTTTAGAGCCCCGGATCCAAATCTTCAATTCGGTGTGGCTGAAGATTTTCGAATATTGTCACTCAATTCGACTCATCCCGCTCGTCAGCATCTCATCAATATGTTAAAAGGAGAACACAATGCAACTGTGTGAGTTTTAAGACGTTTTAAGACGTAAAAAGACGTCGGCTTTTGGTTTTGAAGATCAATAAAGCTGCTTTTTTTTGGAGATAAAATTAGTTAACTTTTAAGAGGAAAGTTTAGCTTCAATTTTAGAAAAGAGATTTCAGAAAAGAGATCGAGAAAGAGAAAAGAGAAAAGAGAGAAAAGAGAGATAGAGAAAAGAGATCGATATTTTCAATTTTCGATTTCCAGACGGATACCGAACGTTTTCCCGGCATTGATGAAAGTGCCACCAGATGGAAAAGCTGATGCTGTCGGTGCATTGCTTGGAGAGCACGCAAAGGTGATCGAATAGCATCGTTATTTATAAAAATATAGCTTTATCTTATTTGTAAGATATTTAAAAATCCTTTAGTATTTACTAGAAATGATAAATCTTATTCAAAAACTAATTTCATTTTTTGTTTTCTTGATTTTCTTGTTTTTAGCTATAGATCAGGATTATGAGGTTAAATTTTGGAAGAATTTGATCAAGGTTTATCTTAGAGTTTTCTTATACTATTTACTTCAAATTTCAAATTCTAGCTTGATTACTGTAGTAATAGGATACTGTAGCTTATAATCTAATAGCATAAGATCTATACTGTAACTTTTAATACCCTTACAGTAACCGTTAAGCCCATCAGTGAGCGAAATCCCGTCAGTGAAGCTACCGTATTCTCAGTCCAGTAAGCCAGACACTTTGGCTGACTGAATCTCTTTCAAATTCCTCTTGCATTAATTATAATTAATTATAATAGGATACTGTAGCTTATAATCTAATAGCATAAGATCTATAATGTAACTTTTAATACCCTTACAGTAACCGTTAAGTTGACGTATCTCGTCATTCTCAATAAAGCATCTAGTTCGAAACTTTCAGTCTGGTACCCCGATAAACAACTCGTTTTCGGACATTCTCCTCTCACTGAATAAAGAGGAATCACACGAGTGGTGGACGGTAAAGTACGTTATAAATCGTTTGAAATTGTTAAGAATCGTTATAAATCATTAGAAATCGTTAGAAATCATTAGAAATCGTTAGAAATCGTTAGAAATCCTTAGAAATTGTTAGAAACTGTTAGAAATTGTTATAAATCTTTACAAATCGTTAGAAATCGTTAGAAATCGTTAGAAATCATTAGAAATCATTGATAAATCGTTAGAAATCGTTAGAAATCCTTAGAAATTGTTAGAAATTGTTAGAAATTGTTAGAAATTGTTATAAATCTTTACAAATCGTTAGAAATCGTTAGAAATCGTTAGAAATCGTTAGAAGTCGTTAGAAGTCGTTATAAATCATTATAAATCGTTAGAAATCGTTAGAAATCGTTAGAAATCATTATAACTCGTTAGAAATCGTTATAAATCATTAGAAATCGTTAGAAATCGATTCTATCGACAATTAGATGAGATTGAAATCGATTTTATACTTAATTAGATGCTTTGAATTGATGATAAACTAAAATTGATGATAATTTGATTGATTAGAATGATCGATCGACACTTTGATCCGGTGAAAATCACTGAAGAGGAGGTGCTGAATGGGATCATTGTTTATGGATTTGTTGACAAGGTAAAGCGATTGAAAACTCGAAAACGAGTACACTAGATAGCGTGTGTTTGCCGTGTGTTTCGAAGTAGCCTTTTAGTAGCTCTAGCCTCTTTTCTAGGTTTTCTCTACGTCATTCCTTGTGCAATTTTTGACTGGTGGCGGGATTTTGGGCCTCTACTTGTCCCTCGTTTTGTTGGTAGGGAAATTCATGCGCGACATGGCCACGGGTTCGATGCCGGTAAGCTTTATTGTTTATTTGTTTGTTTATTTATGTAATAGAGTTGAAATTTGAAGTTGTTTATCGAAATTTGAAGTTGTTTATTTATAATTAATGCTAGCAAGAAGAATTTGAAAGATATTCAGTCAGCCAAAGCGTTTGGCTTACTGGACTGAGAATACGGTAGCTTCACTGACGGGATTTCGCTCACTGATGGGCTTAACGGTTACTATAAGGATATTAGAAGCTACAGTATAGATCTTATGCTATTAAATTACAAGTTACAGTATCCTATTACTACAGTAATCAAGCTAGACTTGTAGGTAAAGATTTTGAAAGATATTCAGTCATGTCGCCTCTTGCATACTGTGAAAGTGATGCAAACGCATCTAATTAGCACTGTAACACTGTAACTTGCAGTTTACTGTAAGAATACGTATGGGGATACCGTAATTTACAGTTTCCTTTCAATAACTTACGAATTAAATGCTGTTAATGTTCCTTTAAAGTTCCTTTATAGTTCTTTGATAGTTCCTTCATAGTTCCTTTATAGTTCCTATTTGGTTCCTTTAAAGTTCATTTATGGTTCCTTGATAGTTCCTTTATAGTTCCTTTATAGTTCCTTTATAGTTCCTATTTGGTTCCTTTAAAGTTCCTTTATGGTTCCTTGATAGTTCCTTTATAGTTCCTATTCTGTTCCTTCAAAGTTCCTTTATAGTTCCTTTATAGTTCCTATTTGGTTCCTTTAAAGTTCCTTTAAGGTTCCTTTATAGTTCCTATTTGGTTCCTTTAAAGTTCCTTTATAGTTCCTTTATAGTTCCTATTCTGTTCCTTCATAGTTCCTTTATAGTTCCTTCATAGTTCCATTATAGTTCCTTTATGGTTCCTTTTCTTTATAGTTCCTTTATAGTAATCAAGCTAGACTTGTAGGTAAAGATTTTGAAAGATATTCAGCCATATCGCCTCTTGCATACTGTGAAAGTGATGCAAACGCATCTAATTAGCACTGTAACTTGCGGTTTACTGTAGAATGCTGTAGAATATGTATGGGATACCGTAATTTACAGTTTCCTTTCAATAACTTGCTGTCAATGTAAGTAAAAGTCTCCTAAACATTAAAGATTGAAATTTTTAGAAAATCATGTTCGATCAACTGCCGAATGTGGACGATATTCTCCAAATGTGCTTAGATATCATGCTGGTAGGTTTTTTAAAACAAAAATCATAACAAAACACCCTATTTCCCATTAAACTATAATATTAAAACAAAAATTTTCAAGAAAAACAAAAACATTTGCGTTCGGGGGGAATCGAACCCCCGTCGAATGCTTGGAAGGCATCCATGCTGACCATTACACCACGAACGCACATTGGAGAGGAGGGGAAAAAGGGGATATGAAGGGATGAGGGGGAAAAGGCGCTTCTAAACTCTTTTCTGTCAGAAAAATTTCTGTTTGCTTTCATTTAATGAAAATTCGTTAAATAACTAGTTTTGAAAATAAAATAGCAAATAAACAGCAAATGGAATCTAGAATTTTATCAAGAAAAATGTTCAAACTTTGATAAAATTTAGGACTTTTATGGAAATGAGGGGCAAAAGGCGCTTCTAAATGACTCTTTTCTGCAGAAACATTTGCTTTGCTTGCGTTTTCTTTCAATTTAATGGAATTTCCTTTTGAAAACTAGTTTTGAAAATAAAATATCAAATAAATAGCAAATGGAATCTAGAATTTTATCAAGAAAAATGTTTAAACTTTGATAAAATTTAGGACTTTTATGCGTTAGAGAAAAAGTTATTATTAAAAAAAAAATACCGACTGGGGCTACCAGTGGTGAATTTATCGCATACACGAAATATATGAATCACAATACAACGACACACACAATACTAGGCTATATCTTAACTTAACCCACGTCATGACAGACGGCTCCCTAACCCTAAGCTCAATGGGGAACTAAATAGCTTTTTTGGTGGTGAAGGGAAGATGACGATGAAGGAGTGGCTTGTCACTTTAAAGAACTGGGGCCACAACCACCAGACGGCCCTCCAGAAAACCTCTCAACCCGAAGGGAAAGGAAATCCGAAGGGGGTGACCATGTCGCATGTGGGGTTCGAACCCTCGACCTTCCGATTAAGATAAAAGACACTTAACCAGTCAGCCACACGTGCTCACGCCACACGTGCTTATTGAAGATTTTTGTTTGGGTGAATCGATAGTGGGCAATCAAAAGAATTCCCCAAAGTAAAAATGGATCGAATTTCATTCAAATCGCATTCAACTTATCCAGTTTTTGATATTCACTTCAATTTAAATCGATTTCAGTTCAAATTTCATTCAATTTAAATCGATTTCAGTTTAAATGGAATTCAACTTATCTAGTTTTTGATATTCAATCCAATTTAAACCTAATTCAATTTAAAACGAATTCAATTTAAATCGAATTCAATTTAAAACGAATTCGCTTTAAATTTCGTTCAATTTAAATCGAATTCAATTTAAATCGAATTCATTTTAAATCGAATTCAGTTTAAAACCAATTCAGTTTAAATCCAATTCAACTTATCCAGTTTTCAGTAATATTCAATTCAATTTAAATCCAATCTATATTTAATTCTGAAACATTCAGGTCCGAGAAGCGGGTGAAATGGAATTAGAGGAGGAGCTCTTCGGGCGTTTAATTTTCCTCTTCCGCTCACCAGCTCTTCTCATCAAAATGACAAGGGATAAAGGAAGAGAAACATAAAAATCGATAACTGAATTTGATGTGATATTTTTGATTTCATCTTTGATTTCATCTTTGATTTCATCTTTGATTTGCTCTTTGGTTTGATCTTTGATTTGCTCTTTGGTTTGCTCTTTGATTTCATCTTTAATTTGATATTTGATTATTTTGAATACTTTAATTTGATCTCATGATATTTCCCCGAAGCTTTAATCGACTAGTCTTTCCCAAATCTTTTTCAAATGTTTTGAAAGGATAAATCTTTATATAAATATTTATAAAAGTGCTTTAAAAACTTCAAAATCGATCTCGAAATTCGAGTTTTGTAATTCATAAAACAATTCTCGAATTCTCGAATCAATTCTCGAACTTAGAGAGATCAAGATTCAATTAGAGATTAAAATTTTCATTTGGAGTGCTTTCAAAATGTAAAATTTCATCTCTTAAACTTGATTCTTTAGAAATTACAGTTACCATTTATGTTTAAATCAATTCGGCTTGATTTCGATTGAGTAAGTTCGGGTTTAATTTACGTTCCCGCCACGTTGAAACAAGTTGAAACAAGTTGAAACAGGTTGAAACAAGTTAAGCAAAGTTGGGCTCGGTTAGTCGCAGGTTCGAAGTTATCCCAAGCGTCGAGCAATGTAACGCACCGTGCTCGTTGAAATTAAACTACGGGTTGACTTGCACATAAACAGCCATTAAAATCTGCAGCCATTAAAATCGGTTATTTTCTTTCATTGACCAGCATCTCCACAAAATAATGATCATTGATCAAATAATGATCTTTCAAGAGCTATGCTTAAATTAAGAATTTGAAGTCCTGTTTTGGCATTAGGTAGTTTAGTTTAGTTTAGTTTAGTTTAGTTTAGTTTATTAGGATATTCAGCCTAGATTAGGATATTCAGTCCAGATTAGTTTAAAGCCTAAACCCGAACTTACTGGTTTATTCAACCAATCCAAGCAATCAATCCAAGCAATCGATCACAATACAGAAACAAATCCTATTGAAACCCTAACCGAAACTAAACGGTTAGGGTTTCAATAGGTTTAGCTTCGGTTAGGGTTTCAATAGGATTTGTTTCTGTATTGTGATCGATTGCTTGGATTGGTTGCTTGGATTGGTTGCTTGGATTGATTGCTTGGATTGGTTGCTTGGATTGGTTGCTTGGATTGGTTGCTTGGATTGGTTGAATAAACCAGTATATACTTAAGTTCGGGTTTAGGTTTTAAACTAATCTAGACTGAATATCCTAATCTAGACTGAATATCCTAATCTAGACTGAATACCGTAATCCAGCCAATCCGGACTGAATACCTTAATCTAGACTGAATATCCTGATCTAGACTTCTTAGTTCATAGTTGTCGTTCTTAGTTCTTAGATTAGTTTATTAAGGCTTTTCATATAGCTAATATTTAGCTACACTTACTAGATCTTCTTACCGTAAATACTGTAATAGTACCCCACCCCCCTCGTACAGTCGCGTAGTCGTAGTCGTAAGTTTTCTCGTATTTCATTTTTTTTCAAAGCGCTCGTACTTTCAAAAAAATGTGTCTTTCGTATGAAAAAATAGCCCAGAATCTCAGCTTTTTTTTTGATACCTAAGCGCGCATTGTAGCATAAACCAGTGTCAAGAAAAACTTGTTCAAAGCTAGACCGCACCATGATTATTGGGCAGGGGTACTATTACAGGATTTACGGTAACTTCTTATTCGAATTCTTATTGAACTATAAAAATGACATCATCTGTTAAAGATCTTTAAATATCAAAGATCAAAAATTAAAGGATCTCTTAAAAGGAAAAAGATCGATCTCTTTCTTTTCAAAGATCACCATTTGACCGTTATCGTGTAGAACTATTTATTTAGAACATTCAAAAACATATAAATCTTCCCGTTTATTGAGGAAGTTTTTAGAAAAGCACTTAAGAATGGCCAAAAAAGGACTGTTTTTTGAGTTTTCGAGTTTTCGAGAGGTTAAAGAGGGGGAAGTTCTTCAATCAAATAGAGATCAAAAAAAGAATGAAAGGGATTGGAAAAAAAAAAGAGCAATAAAGGGTATTGTCTGATGGGAAAGGACCCGCGAATACCCTTCAATAATCGGGTAAATAAACCGCGGAGAAGACCGGCCCACCAAGAGTATTCTATAAAGGGGATGGACTCAAAGAATCATTGCTTTGACTATCGTAAGGCTTTGGCTTTGGCTTTGGCTTTGGCTTTAGCTATTGTGTTACCGTAACCTTTACTTTTCATTAGACAAATCCACAGATTGTATCGACTTTTTTAGTTCAAATTCGAGCCAAAGCAGCTACCGTAATCTACCGTAGTCTCTAATACCGTAACCCGATGCTAGTTTTTGTCTGGGAAACAAGATACTGTTTGAAAAAGCTGTAGATACTGATGTAGATACTGCTGTAGATACTATATTCTTAAATTTAGTATATTTACCGTAACCTAGTCTTAGAATTACCGTTTAAAATCTTTATTAGACTGCTATATTGATTGAATTGTTATAGTTGCTTAGGTTATCGTAATCTTTAGCCTAGCTTCACTTTTGTTTATTTCAGAATGCTCTTCTTGTTAGCATTGTTACCGATTGTGTCTGCTTATCCTCAATATCCAAGATTTCCGCCGTCAAATGGAGGATTTCAGGTATGAAAAGTCATAATAGACTTTAAACTGAATAGACTTTAAACTGAATAGACTTTAAGCTGAATAGACTTTAAACTGAATAAACTTTAAACTGAATAAACTTTAAATTGAATAGACTTTAAACTGAATAGACTTTAAACTGAATAGACTTTAAATTCATTGTGAAAACTTTTGAAAGAGCTTAGGAATTTAGTTTCGTACTTTTCAAGTAGTTTTACAAGATTCTGCACACCGTATTCTACTAGCAGACTTGGATCCAAGTGTTGAGAACTGTGTTTTGCATTGGGTCGAAGTGAAATGTTCTGAGTCAACTGTAGTTTCTGAACGTTGATCTGACTTTGATCTGACTTTAGCTCTCTCTTTGAGTCCAAGTTAACGAGCTAGATCAAATTTACTCTAACCTTTGTGCTGATTCTTAGATTTGACAAAACATTACGTAGTTTCCAGGGTGGTTTCCCGGCGCCAAGTGGTTTCGGTGGACCAATGGGTCAAGGTGGACCAATGGGCCAGGGCGGGCCGATGGGAATGGGAGGAATGGGTGGAGTACCACCTGTGCCAAAGGTATTGTCTTCCTTTCCAAAACTCTCATTTAATACTTTAGTGATAAAATACTGTAATCCTAGTATTGTCCTTTAAAGCCAATGCACCGTAATCCTCATGCGTTCAGGAGCTTCCACCCGGTTTCGAGAGCGTTCTCCCAACCGACAAATTGGAGGAGCTGAGGTCGATCCACGAAAGCACAACACTGTCAAATGAGGTTATTAAGAATAAGAAGCTGATTCAAATTGAATTCGACTTCAATTCCAATTCAATTCCAATTCAATTCCAATCCAATTCGAATCCAATTCGAATCCAATTCCAATTCAATCCCAATTCAATTCCAATCCAATTCCAATTCAATTCCAATCAATTTCCAATCCATTTCCAATCCATTTCCAATCCATTTCCAATCCAATTCCAATCCAATTCTAATCCAATTCCAATTCAATCCCAATTCAATCCCAATTCAATCCCAATTCAATCCCAATTCAATCCCAATTCAATCCCAATTCAATCCCAATTCAATCCCAATCCATTTCCAATCCATTTCCACTCCAATTCCACTCCAATTCCAATCCATTTCCACTCCAATTCCAATCCAATTCCAGGATAAACATGATCGTATCGATAAATTGTTGACCGCTTTACCAATCGAGATTCTTGATCGATTGCCGATAAATCCGGCTTTGGATAAATTGCCAGATGATGTAAAGCAACAGATTAAAACGATCACGAGAGATCGAGTGAGTTATTTAGAAGCATTATTCGACTCTAGAACTCTAGAACTCTAGACTAGACAATACTTTATGCCTTAAAACACAAATTCCAGCACAAATTCCAGCAAAAAGTTCACCTTAAAGCCTAAAATTTTCGTTAAATGCCAATTTTCAGCTAAATGCCAATTTTCAAGTTCAAACTTTATCCCTTTTCAGTCAATCGATTGGCGCTCAAAGATGCAAAGAGTGCAACAATACATTCAATCTTTACCTGAGTCGATCAAGGTGTGGATGAAGAGATTGAGAGATGGATTATTTAATGATTTAGTGATGATTGTTGAAGGAAAGAGATAGGAGAATAAAAATTATTGAAAATTATTGAATTCTTGAAACTTCTTGAGAACTTTAAGTGATTTTAACGCTTTTTGTTTTGAGTGAGCTACCCTTTCCCCCAAAGCTTTTTGACTAACAAATGAAATTTTCAGCGTCTTCTTCCACCACCGCCACCACCTGGATTTGAATATTTGCCTGAAGATGCTAAGGTGGGGATTTTTTAAATATTTTTGAAGATAACAGAAGATAACAGAAGCTCAATGGTGCGCCAGATGGCGTGGGTTTAAGCCTTTCATTCACGTCTCCTGAAGGCCTTGAAAATAGGCCTTCAGTTCAGTTACAGAAAGTTTAAACGCAATCTTTCTGGCGCACTAGACTAAGAATTTATCTATCTACCGTATTTTCTCTAATAGTAGTGCACCCCAGCGAGCCGAGTTGATGACTATTTTACGGTTTCCAAGCTTTTGCAGAAGCTCAAAGAAAATGCGATTAAAAAGTGACAAATTATGTTAATATTCTTGTGCTCAAATACCGTATTTTCTCTAATAGTAGTGCACCGAAGCGAGCCGAGTTGGTGACGATTTTACGGTTTCCAAAGCTTTCCCAGAAGCCCCAATCCTCTAATCCCCCACTAGATCTCATCGTCAGCTACCTTTTCCGACCCCACATCAATAGGTTCTGATAAGCGGTTCTCGAGATTTCAAGGAATTTAAGCGACGCTCAAGGTGCACTAGTATTAGAGAGAATACGGTATCTATCTATTTATCTATCTATCTACCTAAAATATTATAAATTCGATCTCTAGGCGGCTTTGAAAGCGATCCAGGAGAACGCGGCACTTGGTTTTCGCGAACGATACTACAAGATCAAGGTTTAACATAGAAATTTGAAAAGAATACAATCTCTTTAAAGAATCAAATAAAGCTTCAATATTTTAGGCCTTATTTATCTTCATATTTTCCATGATATGAATATTTTTGATTCATTTGACAAGCAAGAACCCAATAAATCTCTAGAAAAATTCCTCCAGTAACAGGAAAATCTTTGTGAATTGTAATTGTTTAGAAAATAAGAGGCTGATTGATTTTCGTTAAAAATACTGTAATGAGGCTTTAAAACATTAAAATTTACTTCAATAATGAATTGATCTAAATCCTCAATCACTTTCAGGAAGTGATGGACCGTCTGCCAGCCGACATTCGAGCCAAACTCCCACCACCTCCACCCCCACCACCAATGTTTTAAACATAAAAAAATATTCAATTACAATCGTCTTCTTTGGTTTATCTTTATCTCTGTGATATCATTTTTTAAGTTTTAAAAAATGTTCAACTTACGGGCGGTTATGGAAGCTTTTCTCGTGGAAACGATTTATTTAAAATATTAATTTTAATCAATTTCTTCGAAACACTCCTTACATTCAAAACGACAAAAAATGGCAGATCGCCGTGGGGCGCTTGCGGCGAGTTCATTCCAAAGTCCAGGAAAGATTAAAAATTAGCTTTGGCTGAAAAAACTTTAATAAATGAATGGTGCTGAGAATTAGAGCTTTCAAATGATATATAATGCTTACAAATGGTATATAATGCTTACAAAAGGTAGATAATGCTTTCAAATGATATATAATGCTTTCTAATGGTATATAATGCTTTTAAAAGGTATATAATGCTTACAAATGGTATATAATGCTTTTAAAAGGTATATAATGCTTACAAATGGTATATAATGCTTTTAAAAGGTATATAATGCTTACAAATGGTATATAATGCTTTCAAATGGTATATAATGGTTTCTAATGGTATATAATGCTTTCTAATGGTATATAATGGTTTCTAATGGTATATAATGCTTTCAAATGGTATATAATGCTTACAAATGGTATATAATGCTTTCAAATATAATCAAATATCTCTTGCATTTTGGCATTTCGAATTTCATCTCAAATTTCAAAATTCTATTTCTATTTATTGAAATTGAAATTGAAATTGAATTTGAAATTTGCAAATTTCAGCTTACCCAGCTTTGAACCAAGTACTGAATTAAGAAATTAGAAAAATAGAGAGAGAACTTTGGTGCTTTTTAATGCATCCTCTAGAATCTGAAATATGAAAGAAATAAGAAGTTATGGGCAGACAAAGCCAATCTAAATCATGTCAACTCTGACACGGGAATGACCAGAGCTGGCCGTAAAATCTCGACCTGAAAATCTCGACTCAAGTTCATTCGGCGCGTTCATTCCAAGGTCCAGAAACTGAAACAAACATATTGGAGATGACTGGAATTTCTAAAACGAAAGAACCTCTCCTTGAACTAACCATGGGATTAACTTTGAATAAATCTCGAAAAAGAGGGATAGCTTGCCTGCTCTTTACAATTTTAAAACATTCAACTAATTTATTTATCTTTAAACATTCAATTAATTTATTTCTAATTAAACATTCTATTTAAAACATTCTAAACAGCAGTAGCAATTTTTAGGGAAAAAAAAATAGCGCAAAGTATTAGATTCGAAATTCTAAAACCTTTTTTTGAGTCTTAATTTCAGTGAAGATCAAATTTTAAAGAGGAAACTAAGAGTATCTGAAGATCTTTTAACGGGGATCATTTTTGATCCTTTATGATAACTCTAGATCATCCAGATTTAAGAGAATGCAATGAATATGCGATGAAATAAATGTAATATGTTTACATTTATCTGGTACTTTCAGCTACAGATAGCTGAGCTTTACCCAGATCTACAGTTATCAAAAGAGCCGGAGCTTCAATTCACAGTAATTCCTGATAGCCAAGAATTGAAAGTCTTGTTCTTAAATCAATCTCGGAAAAGAAAGAATTCGATGTGTGTCGTTTTTGAGAGACGAAAAAAGTATGTCCTTGAAATCGTGATCCACTGGGAACTGGGAAAACCATTTCAATGAACAGACTTTTCACTATAACCATTTTTCTAGATTTTTTTAAATGCATGTTCACATTTTGGGCATTTGTGGGACATTTATGGGCTCAATTGCCTTATTGGCCAGGTAAAATCGCTAAGAGCAGTCGTTTAAATGTTCAAAAAAGCTTATAAACTTAAAAAACAACTTCAATTACAATTTTTATCTAAAATTCGATACTGAAATCTTGTCTATGAATCATAAAACATTCAGAGAACTTGGCCACAAGGTGACCGGTGCTGATGAAAACTCTCATCCACCAATGAGCACAATGCTTGAAGCACATGGCATTGAGATCATATCTGTAGGTTTCTTTTTAAACATTGAAACTTGAAAAGCTTTACTTTAGACAAGTTTAGACAAGTTTAGACAAGTTTAGACAAGTTTAGACAAGTTTAGTCAACTTTAGACAACTTTAGTCAACTTTAGACAAGTTTAGACAACTTTAGACAACTTTAGTCAACTTTAGTCAACTTTAGTCAACTTTTTACAGAAACTATTCCCTATTTCAGAACTATTCCGTATCTCAACTAACTCCAAGACCCGATTTGGTGATCGTGGGCAAAACGAGAGCTCTAGCTAGAGGCAATCCGATCATTGAATACATAATGAATGAGAAGATTTCATTTGTTTCTGGACCGCAATGGATATATGAAAGTATTTTGAAAGATCGTTGGGTGATCGCTGTTTCGGGAACTCATGGGAAAACATCAACCACATCGATGATCGTGTGGATCATGGAGAAAGCCGGCTTAAACCCCGGGTATTTGATAGGTGAGTCGAAAGACTTATGTTGATTTTTGATAGTCGAATATTGATTATGAGATTTTTACTTTAACCTCCAGCATTGACTCGATCTCTCCCATAAGTTTTAGCAAAACAAAAAGCAAAAATGTCTACAGCGGGCGGCTCTGGAGACAGACACTCTAACGATTGTGCCAAAAAGCTGAAAAGCAATTAAAGTTGAAGAGATTTAAAGCAAAAACAAGTTCGGAAAGGACGAGAATCGTACCTGACAGCCTGCTTAAAGTGAGGGTAATAAATGGAGGGTAAAAATCGAGCCCGATTCCAAGTGGGAAAATATTTCACTTGGAATCGGCCTCGATTTTTACCCTCCCTTTAAGGCAATCGTTTTGTAGACGGACAAAAACCACTTCGATCACTCCCGCCGAAGACAAAAACCGGCGTGGCTAAGTGGTTTTTCTGATTTTTACGGGGTTTGGCTGGGTCCTTGAAAAACCGAGGGAACCAATTTGAATCTCGTACCGGATCGTACCCATATCCGCAGCAGGTCTCCAAGGTGAACAGCCTCTAGTCGATCGAATAATGTAGGTAAGGGAAGTCGGCAAATTAGATCCCGGATACGGAGATTTGTACTCTTCTGAGTGCATCGGGCGGTAACGCAAATGAACTCGGTGACACCTAGCTAGGCCCGAGCCAGAGTTCTCTTCTCTGGTTAAGGAACGGACTCGCTGGAAACGGTTCAGCCGAAGATAGCGACGTTGTTTCCGTAAAGCGTCACGGTTTCTGTGGCGTCTCGTGCGCCTGGCTGGGTCCTTGAAAAACCGAGGGAACCAATTTGAATCTCGTACCAGATCGTACCCATATCCGCAGCAGATCTCCAAGGTGAACAGCCTCTAGTCGATAGAATAATGTAGGTAAGGGAAGTCGGCAAATTAGATCCGTAACTTCGGGAAAAGGATTGGCTCTAAGGACTGGCCTGGTCGGGCCGTGGCATGAAGTGGGTACGGCTTGATCGGGGCTGGGTGACGCTTTTGTGGAGCTTGGCCTCGTGTCGGGACTGTCCCGTGGACTGCCGTGGACTGCCGCGGCTGCGTGCATGGTCTTTGGGCTGTGTGCTTCGGCCGGCGTGAAACAGTCGACTTAGAACTGGTACGGACACGGGGAATCCGTGGCTAAGTGGTTTTTCTGATTTTTTTACGGGTTTTTGATGAAAAACCTATTTTGCCCAAAAGTATTTGTCTTTTTATTTTTAATTTCCTATCGATTAAAAAAAAGTTTGTTAAAATCGGTTCATGGGGAGCCGAAATCCCAGAGTGTGACGAACAGACGGACGGACGAACACTTCTCTTTTATATATAGTAGATAGAATAGATTACCGTTTGACTTTTCGTTCGATTACCGTCGATTTTTCGTTTGGATTCCAGGCGGTGTCCCTGTGGGCCTTCCTGGTTCAAGTCGTCTCAGCCAAGAATCACCATATTTTGTGATCGAAGCCGACGAGTATGGGACGGCTTTTTTCGATGAACGCCCAAAGATGTTGCTTTATTACCCGAAAACGCTGATCATTAACAATCTTGAGATGGATCACGGGGATTTCTATGAAACATTAAAGGAGATCGAGATCCAGTTTGATAATCTCGTCAAGTAAGTTTGATAATGATTAAGCTATGATTAAGAACATTCTGAGCTATGATTTGTCTCGTCGAGCACGTCGAGCTATGAATAAGAACATTCTGAGCTATGATTCGTCTCGTCGAGCTCGTCGAGCTATGAATAAGAACATTCTGAGCTATGATTCGTCTCGTCGAGCTCGGCGAGCTATGAATAAGAACATTCTGTGAATCTCTTATTTTATTGAATCTCTATTAGAATGATCCCAAGCAATGGATTGATTGTGCATCCAACTGGAAGTGCTGCAATTGATAGAGTGATTAGTGATGGATGCTGGACGAGAAGGGAGACAACTGGAGGAAATGGAAAGTTGGAAAATGAAAATGGAAATAGAAATAGAAATAGAAATAGAAATAGAGCTCTTATTTGATCATTTCCTTATTTTGTTTTTAGTTGGACAACAAAGCTTCTCTTGTCTGATGGTTCTTCTTTTGAAGTCTTTCAAAATGGGAAACTTCAAGGAAAAATTGAATGGGATTTGATTGGAGATCATTTTGTTTCAAATTCTCTCTCTGCTATTGCCGCTGTCAATCATATTGGTGTAAGGTAAGTGATTTAAATGACTATTACTATTTAAATGACTAATAGAGAATAAAATTTAAGCTCTACTATCTCAATTTAGCTCTGCTATCTCAATCAACGCTCTACATTCTTTTAAGCTTCCTAAAAGAAGATTAGAAAAGGTAAAACAAAGCTAGAAGTTTAATAACTAACAAAGCAACAAAGCAACAAAGTAACAAAGCTAAAAAACAATAAAACAATAAAACAACAAAGCAACAAAGTAAAAAAGCTAAAAACAACAAAACAATAAAGCAACAAAGCTAAAAAACAACAAAACAACAAAACAACAAAGTAACAAAGCTAAAAACAACAAAACAACAAAGCCACAAAGCTAAAAAACAACAAAACAACAAAGCAACAAAGCTAAAAAACAATAAAACAATAAAACAACAAAGTAACAAAGCTAAAAAAACAACAAAACAACAAAGCCACAAAGCTAAAAACAACAAAACAACAAAGCAACGAAGCTAAAAAGCATCAAAACAATAAAACAACAAAGTAACAAAGCTAAATGTTTAATAAACAACTAAAAAAACCGATTTAGTTTGGTCAAATCGGAAATATCGAAATTATTATTGATTATGGTCATCATCCAACCGCATTTCAAGCTAATTTAAAAGCATTACGAAATAAATATGGAAAAGATACAAAAATCTTTACGGCTATTGATCCATCAACTGGTTCACTCAAGTAAATTATACTATTTTCTTTTTAGATTTAAAAGATTAGGCTTGGAATTCACCAAGACACAATGCTAGAAAGCACAAAAGAAGCCGATTTTGCATATTTTTGGAAAACGGAAAAACTTCATTGGGATATTGAGAGAATTAGGAGACAATGTGAAGAAGATTGTCGATTTGAGGTCAGTCGAGAATCGTCAGTCAAGAATAGTTTAAGCTGCTTAGTTTAATTTGTGTTTATCTTTTAGATCTATTCATCAGTTGAGGAAATTATTGATCATTTCCTGAAATCAATCAACAACAATGTGACTGAAAGAGTGATTTTCATTGCTTTCACGTGAGTAAACTGAGAAATCAGCTTTAGCTTAGGCTTAGGCTTAGGCTTAGGCTTAGGCTTAGGCTTAGGCTTAGGCTTAGGCTTAGGCTTAGGCTTAGGTGCAGGCTCAGGCTTAGGCGCAGGCTCAGGCCCAGGCTCAGGCTCAAGTTCAGCTTAGCTTTAGCTTTTAGCTTTAGCTCTTAGCTTTAGCTTTAGCTTTCAGCTTTAGCTTTTAGCTTTCGGCTTTAGCTTTAGCCTTTAGCTTTAGCTTTCAGCTCTTAGCTTTAGCCTTTAGCCTTTAGCTTTAGCTTTTAGCTTTAGCTTTAGCCTTTAGATTTTAGCTTTAGTTTTAGCTTTAGCTTTAGCTTTCAGCTTTCAGCTTTAGCTTTTAGCTCTTAGCTTTAGCTTTCAGCTTTAGCTTTAGCTCTTAGCTTTAGCTTTAGCTTTTAGCTTTAGCTCATTTTTTAACTTATTTTCATCAATCATCATTTAGATCTTTTGCTTTTGACAATCTACCACAAAAACTCTTTAAAAACTTACAAGATGGAGTCACAGGAAATGAGAAAAAAGAGCTTTAATTGTTAGGGAAAATAAAGCAAATTGTAATTGAATTTATACTTTACATAAAATAAACTTTTTATTCATTAGTGGCTCTTTCAATCTTCACTCAAGAAGATTTAAAATTCAATCTTCACGTTTCGATATTCAGTATTGTTAGGTGTTTCTTTATCGAATTTCATGATGATTGTTTCTGCTACTTTGCTCGGCCTTTGCTTACCGTATTCTCTCTAATAGTAGTGCGCACTACTATTTTTTCAACTCCCTCCTGGACCGCAATACTATTAGAGAGTACACTACTATTAGTGAGAATACGGTATATGTCCATTAAACTTTCCGAACATTAAACTTTTAATGCTTGTACTTATTTATGATTTTTTTCTGAGAAAATAAATATCATTGACAAGTGAATGACACAGGAAAATCATGAAATTACTTTTCTAAAAGAAACACTCGAAAAAATGCTGATAACAAGCGCTCTTTCTTTTGCGAATTCAAGAGAATACTTCAAGAGAATTCAAGAGAATTCGATCAATACTCTCTCAGAGGAAATTTTTGGATTTTATGCCTTGTCTTATCTTTTTTATATTACCAAAAGAACTGTAAAGTTTCTTGAATTGTTTTGAACAACTATTAGCTTTCTTAGATTTCTGGGAACAGCTGAGGACAGCCTTTTTTCACCTTCCATCTCCTTCCTTCTCTTATTAACTTATTTCTCTGAAATTTTCCCTTTTAGCTCTAAGATTTTCACTTCAAATATCTTCAATCATTTCTTAAAAGAATTTTAGTCCAATGCCGGCTGGTTTAAAAGCTTTTACAAGTGAGGGAGTGGTTGCCGATGTGATCCCCGTTCCACCAAAATGTGTCCTTGATGTCTCCTACAATAGTGGGGCAAAGGTTTGCGAAATATTCTTATAATTGTTTCCTTTGCTCAAGTTTTGTTTTCTTAAATTATAGACCGATTTTGGAAATGAATTGACGCCGACCCAAGTCAAGGACAAGCCAACAGTCACCTGGGAAAGCGAGGCCAACGCTTTGTACACCTTGATTTTGACGGGTAATCGACTTTGGATTTAACGATTCTTATATACAGTCGACTCTCGATTTAACGATTTGCTCGGGAGCAAAAATTTAGATTTAACGATTCTAAAACGTGCCCTGAACGGCCAGCGCTGAGCACCTACGCAGAGACGCAATCTTCGCTATTCAGGGCACGCAGAACCGCCCGTTGGTTGTTCAGGGCAGCTACGCAGAAGCGTTCGTTGGCCGTTCAGGACAGCTACACAAAACCGAATTGTTGGTCGATCAGGGCAGCTACGTAGAGACACAATCTTCGCTATTCAGGGCACGCAGAAACACCCGTTGGTTGTTCAGGGCAGCTACGCAGAGAGGCAATCTTCGCTATTCAGGGCACGCAGGAACACCCGTTGGTCGTTTAGGGCAGCTACGCAGAAGCGCTCGTTGGCCGTTCAGAACAGCTACACAAAACCGAATTGTTGGTCGTTCAGGGCAGCTACGCAGAGAGGCAATCTTCGCTATTCAGGGCACGCAGGAACACCCGTTGGCCGTTTAGGGCAGCTACGCCGAGACGCAAGCTTGGCCATTCAGGGCAGCTACGCAAAAGCAAGGGCGTGGTTTAGAATTTAAAAATCGTTGTATCGACTGTATGTCGAATAAAAATAAAGAAAACCAAAGCCCTAGAAAGGCCCGATTTCAGATCCGGATGCGCCATCTCGAGCGAATCCAGCTATTCGTGAGTGCATGCATTGGGTTGTTGTAAACATTCCCGGCAGTCACGTGGATCAAGGTGACGAGGCGGCCGAATATATTGGATCTGGAGCTCCAGAGGGCACCGGTTTGGAAAATCGGAAATCCGAATATGCAAATTGGGAAGAGCTTTAGGCCTTCACCGTTACGTTTTCCTTCTATACAAACAAAACGGAAAAGTCGATGCTGGTTTTAAGGTGAAATTTTTGAAAACATTTATTTGAGAATATACAGGGTGACCAGAAATAACGTTGCGGCCTAATTTAGCCTATTTTTTTAAAAATCCAAAAAGACTTTGTGACAGAAACAATTTTTTATTAACAACATGACATAAAGAGAGCATAAAATCGACTTTTCTTCAAAGTGGCCACCTTTGGCTCCGATGCAGAGCCTCAAACGCTTGATGAAATTTTCGGCGATGGGCCGCTGCTCGGCCGGAGTGATTCGATCCCATTCCCTGGTCAACGATCGCTTAAGAGCCTCCAAACTTTTGTGGGGTTTTGCACAAACCCTTGCCTTCAAAATTAACCAAAGGCTGTAGTCCAACGGATTGAGATCGCACGAATACGGAGGCCATTCCAGGTCGAGATGAAATCCGGAAAGTTTGTCCTACACCAGTCCTGTGTGGATTTGGCTCGATGGAAGGAGCGGAGTCTTGTTGGAAGTTCCAAAATCCGTTACCAAAATGCTGTAGCCCATGGAAGATCTGCCGAAAATCCCGCAACGTTATTTCTGGTCACCCTGTAGAACTGAAAGTTAGAGTGTAGAAAATTTATTTTTTAACTTTACTTATTCATGCCATTCTTACAATTTGTTGAAACGAAATAGCGTTGTTTCTAAGTAAACTTTTTTAGATTCGAAAAAACTCCGCTGAGGGCCGAAAAAATTGGAGTGCTGCCGCTTTTGCTGAAAAACATCATTTAAGCTTAGTGGCCGGGAATTTCTATCAAGTAATCAAAGATATAAATCAACAAAACTTTCAATTTTTCAGGCTCAATACGATGATTATGTGCCCATTTTGCACAAGCAACTTTCTGGACAGTAAACTGCGTTTGTATTTTTTTTTTTTTTTAAATAATACCGACTGGGGCTACCAGTGGTGAATTTATCGCATACACGAAATATATCAATCACAATACAACGGCACACACAATACTAGGCTATATCTTAACTTAACCCACGTCATGACAGACGGCTCCCTAACCCTAAGCTCAATGGGGAACTAAATAGCTTTTTTGGTGGTGAAGGGAAGATGACGATGAAGGAGTGGCTTGTCACTTTAAAGAACTGGGGCCACAACCACCAGACTGCCCTCCAGAAAACCTCTCAACCCGAAGGGAAAGGAAATCCGAAGGGGGTGACCATGTCGCATGTGGGGTTCGAACCCTCGACCTTCCGATTAAGATAAAAGACACTTAACCAGTCAGCCACACGTGCTCACGTGTATTTTGTTCTTTTCTTGTGAAAAACGATAAATGAGATCAATATACAGTTGACGATAGTAAATGACGATAGTAAATGACGATAGTGAATGACGATAGTAAATGACGATAGTGAATGACGCTCGATAGTGAATGACGCTCGATATTGAATGACGCTCGATAGTAAGCCATGCTCAATTCTAAGCCATGCGCAATTGTAAGTCATGCTCAATTGGAAGTCATGCTCAATTGTAAGCCACGCTCAATTGTAAGCCACGCTCAATTCTAAGTCATGCTCAATTGTAAGCCACGCTCGATAGTAAATCACTTTTGGAGAATCCCTCCAATGGTAAACACGTGTATTTAACGCTAATTGATGTGCTGGTGTGTCTGGTGTGTCTATTGGTGACGTCATACTTTCAATGGTTTTCGATGGGCCAAAAGCCGCCCCACCTTTCCCATATCACAGAGATAACTTGATCAATTATCAATAGCATTTCAAAGAAACGATGATCTTTATGCGTTCGATGTGCGCGGAAAATGATAACATTCAGCATTTGGCTGAATGTTATCATTTGGGTTTTCAGTTTGATTCTCTTTGAATTTTGTTGTCTTTCTCAATTGTCTTTCTCAATGATGCCAAATGCTGAATGTTCTCATTTTCCGCGCACATCGAACGCATAAAGATCATCGTTTCTTTGAAATGCTATTGATGATTGATCAAGTTATCTCTGTGATATCTTTTGGCGAGAGGCTACATACGGTTACGGTAACTTTTCTCGTGTAAACTATTTATTTAAAATCAAAATTTGTAAGAATACCTTTTGTAGCAATATGTACATACCATCGGGATTTAGAATATCAAAATGAAAAATGAAAAAAAAAGAAAGCAATTTCTATTTCTTGAACTTTTGTCCAGCTTTAAACCACTTCTCGGCTCCTTGATTTTCAGCGAAAATCTAGAAATTTGATTGAATTTGATTGAATTTGGTTGAATTTGGTTGAGTTTTATTGAATTTGATTGAATTTGATTGAATTTGGTTGAATTTGATTGAATTTGATTGAATTTGATTGAATTTGATTGAATTTGATTGAATTTGGTTGAGTTTTATTGAATTTGATTGAATTTGGTTGAGTTTTATTGAATTTGATTGAATTTGGTTGAGTTTTATTGAATTTGATTGAATTTGGTTGAATTTGATTTGATTTGGTTGAATTTGATTGAATTTGGTTGAGTTTTATTGAATTTGATTGAATTTGATTGAATTTGATTGAATTTGATTGAATTTGGTTGAGTTTTATTGAATTTGATTGAATTTGATTGAGTTTGATTGAATTTGATTGAATTTGGTTGAGTTTTATTGAATTTGATTGAATTTGATTGAATTTGGTTGAATTTGATTTGATTTGATTGAATTTGATTGAATGACATCTAATGTAAATCTAATTTTAAAATTTATATAAAACTTGTAATTGGAGTCTTTTTTTTGGAGTGATTGAAGTCTTTACCTCTTTTCCTGATTCACTTAATGCTAAAATTTTGAAGGTTGACGGGAAGAGCCAAGCCGCTTGGTTCTGGATTCGAAGCTGGTAGTAGCTAGAAAATCCACAATAAAACATTGATTTATTTAGAATATATAGAATAGAGTATTTAGAATCCATGAATCTTCAAGAATCCTTGAATCTTCAAAAATCCATTATCCATTAATCCATTCTATCTCGAAAAACTTTACCCATTGTCCATTGGCTCAAAATGACCGGCATCAATGGCGGGTAGGCCGGCACGGGGACACGGTGGGACAAGGATATCCCAATCTTCTTCGGGTAAATCCTGAAACAAATCCTGAATTATGAATTTGTAAAATAGTAGATAATATTTAAATGCTGAAATATTGCTTATAAGAGATGCTATAAGAGATGCTTATAGATTCCTTTTACAAGTTAAACTTTTTCCTATTCATTCCTATTCCTATTCCTATTCATTACAAGTTAATTCCTATTCATTTCAAACCTTATTCGTGGTGAAAGCGATCCCGTACATCAATTCGGAATCATTTTGTGTGTAGAAGATCAATTTCTCACCGGCTTTCACTGGATAAAGCAATTGACGTTCTTTTGCTGAATCAATTTGATAAAAAAATTCGATTTTAGTTAGAAACTCACAGGCTGGTATGCTGATTTTATGCAAATTCGTGTGATTTGGCTCTCCGACTTTTGGAGACCAATACTTTTCCTTTGGAACTGGTTCGGGCGCTGTTAATACCTCGGAGTCTTTTAGAGTACCACCGTATCTAAATCGAGTATTGTACAGAGTCAGGAAAAGTCGGATCTTTGTCTTAGTTCTCCTGGCTTGCTAGGCTAGGACCTGGCTTCTGGAAATTATCTTGCTTTTCTGACCTATTCTTTCTTTCTTTCCCCTTGGTTTTCCTTCTTTCTCTTGGTAGTTAAGGTAATGGATAGCTTAAGGTAATGATAATGAATTGGTTAGAGCAATTGCTCGGAAAGCAAAAGGCAAAAGGCGGATAAGCAAAAGCCCAGGTCGAGGGTTCAATCCTTTCTCTGGAAATCGACTTTTTCTTGCTAAACCCTTCACTTCTTTACTACATGAAGTGAACAAGAACATTACTTGAATGAATTAGATTAGATTAGATTAGATCTTAACTTGAATGAATCGAAAAGTAAACTGACTTTTCGGGTAGAGACTCCTTTCCGAGTAGCTCTTGCAAGTCATCACGCCAACTTTTCCCTGGAAAGTTTTTGTTTTTGCTACAATTGCTCAGCTCAGAATCTCTTTACCTGGGAAAACGATTTTCCCTCTACCATCCTCTGGGATAAAAGGTGAAATGGCTGACCAGAGAATGTTCATGAAACCAGGAGCATTGATCACAATGAACTTGAAAATTGAAGGATAAAGTTGAGTTAAAAGATTCAAAATTTGATACTGATTGAGATTTCTATTAGCGAATAACTATTTCACCTTATCAATCCATTCTCGATAGTGCATCGCCATGAGTTCCCATGAGATTCGGAAAGGGCCTAAAGCACAAAAGTATGGTAACTCACAAATCAGCATTAGTTTGAAAGCTTAAAATTATTAAATACAATAGCAATAGTTAGTTAAACAACTAAATACTTAAATTTTAAGTACTTAAATCGCATTCTTAACTACTAATCGCATTCAAGTCATTAAAAAAGTCTATAAAGTCGAAATTCGATCTAAAGAACCCTAAATTTGGTCCCTAAACGCTTAATAAAATGTTAAGAAACAATGTTCGATATAAAAAACTTCGATACAACGAATACTTCGATCAAAAGAACACTTTTTGAATACGTTAACGCCTATTTCATTTCCTTACAACGAATTATTTACTAAGATTAGGGCAAAACATTTCTGCGATTTCTGCTTTTTGACTGAATATCTCATTTTTTTTTCTACTGAATTTGAAATGTTTTAAAATGAGTTTGCTTACTTCTTGCTTCAAGCTTGTTTACAATTAGCTTGCTTGCTTACAATTAGCTTGCTTACTTACAATTAGCTTGCTTGCTTACAGCTAGTTTGCTTCTTGCTTGCTTACAATTAGCTTGCTTGTTTACAACTAGCTTGCTTGCTTGCTTACAATTAGCTTGCTTCCTTGCTTACAATTAGCTTGCTTGCTTGCTTACAATTAGCTTGCTTCCTTGCTTACAACTAGCTTGCTTGCTTGCTTACAATCAGCTTCCTTACTGCTTTACGCAATCTTTTTTTTATCTTAAGTGTGCTTAATGTAAAGTTTTCTTTTTTATTCTTGAATTTTTGAGAACATTTTTATATTTTAGGTGATGGAGCGAGACGATCAATCGATCAATTTGGCTTTGAAGAAGCGAATACTTGATCAATCAACTTCGAAAGGAACGACTGAATTGGCGAAGGATTTCGAATTGACGCGATGAAGAATATCAACAAAGGAATAGGTCGGTCATTTTAGAAGCGAAGAAGGAGCTACAAAAAGCGCACGATTGAAGACGAGTAAATACGAAGCAATTGAAGAATTTGTGCTTATTTCTTTGAAGCAAATCCGAAGCCAAAACGAAGCCAAAACGAATGTGTTGACAGAAATGTGCTTCGAGAGAAGCGAGAGAAAGCGATGGAGTTGGCAAGCTTGGAAGGAAGTAGCGAGTGGCGGTTGGCTGGATAAATTGAAGGTTGGAGGCGGTTGGCCGTCACGGAGACTTCAAGAAGGCTTCAAGAAGTGTCCAAGAAGCGTCCCAGAAGCGTCCAAGAAGCGTCCAACTTCTTGTTCCTAACTTCTTTTCAAAGTAAATTCGTTATAAAAACTATCGCGAAGTCAAAAAGCCAATGGTGATTTATTTCTATACAACGAATTTCGATATTCTATAGGATATACGTATTCTTCGATACAACGAACGCTTCGACCAATCGCTTGCAATTCCTTGTATCAAAATTCACCTGTACTTCTAAAAGACAAACCTGTCACAGTTCCAACCATTGTCGGATCGAAGCTCAACCCATCGAGGTCAAAGATGTAATACGCGTAGCACTGACGTCCCAATCGGGCTTCCATCTAGGAAATTGATTCATGGTACGCTCAACAATCATACCTCCATCAAAATCGATAAAATCTTCTCGATATTTCGATATTTTTGATGAATATAGTCGGTCGGTTGGACACTTTTCAACACACCGCCAACATCTAGAAACGAAATTGAATTACGCTTTTCGCGGGAGTGGGACAAATGCGACCTTTTTTTTGCGCACACGGACATTTGCGCACCTTTTTTTCTTCACCTTGCCCATTAGCGCACCTTTTTTCGCGTTTTAAAAAAGCTAATATTAACCTCAAGCTGTAAAAAGCTAGTATTAACCAATTTCTATTCCAAAATTTGTTTTTCTAGGTAATTTTAAGGCGTAGAATCGAAATTTTGGCATATCAGAGCTTGTGGAAACAAACGGACGGAGTTATACAAAGAGAAAAATCGACAATTTTCTGTAATTTGATCTAGCCGTTTTGTTTTGATCTAGCGTCTTTCAAATTGATTCCACACGCTCTGTTATGTCAAAACTTGAATTCGACACCCTCAAAAACCTAGAAGTTTTTCTCTTACTTAGAAAAACAACATTTGGAATAGAAATTGGTTAATATTAGCTTTTTAGAGCTTTTTTAAAACGCGAAAGAAGGTGCGCTAATGGGCAAGGTGCGCAAATGTCCGGGTGCGCAAAAAAGGTCGCATCTGTCCCATTCCCCTTTTCGCACAATTTGGAATTTCAAAAATCATAATACAATTGATTGGTACAATTGATATACAATTTATACTCAACTTTTAAATTTTCCTATCTTATTTTTACTATCGAACTTTTACTTTTAAACTCATTTTTTGACTTATTGAACAAAATTTTTAACTCAATTAGTTTCAGAGAGCTTCCGGAGAGCAATTTTTCTTGAGAGAGCTTTATGTTCGCTTGTTTGCTTCTTTTAAAAATAAATTAACTTCTGAAAATTTTCTGGCAACTAAAGGAATCTTTCTTTCACATATCTTTGCTCATTTTTGGTGAAGATTTTCATCTTTATCAATCAGTTTTCATCAAATCAGCTAAATTTGCTATCATTTTGATTTAGGCTTGTAATTTCTGTGCCCAAAATTAGGCTAATTAAATGAAAAACTTTCCCAAAAATGAATAGCGCTTTGAGTAGGATAGTTTGTCTAAGGCTTAGGCTTAGGCTGATGTCTTTTAGTAAATGAACTGGTACTTGTGGAGTATCCGGGGGGGGGGTCTTTCAATATCCGGGGGGTAAAATTTTATATACCAATGAACTCAATGAAGTAATTATTGAATTAACACTAATAAGAACTTTATTGGTTAGTACCGATTTTTCCGGCTTGATCAACGACTAAAATGTGATCCGCGTCGGGATTCGTTGGCTTAATGATACACAATGGAGCGTGATCGGAAGCTATCTGGAATTTCAAAAATCAAGATGAATCATTGAGTCATTGAATCAAGATGAATCATTGAGGTAGAAACCTCAATGAGGCAAGCTTGAACTGAAGATTTTGCTCTTTTCCCCAAGCCAAACCTTGCACGATTGCAGCGTTGACGAGTCAGTGTCCAATCGCTTCTCTTTTCTCCATTTCAAATGCTTTCTCAACATGTGAATCGCTTTTGGTACATTGTGATTGGTACCCTGAATCATGGAATATTGCACGTTTCGCGAAATTTTTTGATATTGGGTTGATGGAAAAGTCCTTTGCGATTTTTTGGGAGAGTACCTTAAATTTGTCGAATTTTGACGTTTTATAGCTCATCCTAAAGCTGAATTCAAGACGGATCGATTGGTAAAAACCGTTTTTTCAGGAATGTCGTGTCAAGTTGAATCGGAGGAGCACCAGCGGCACCTGTTTTTGTATGCATTCAACCGAAAACTCAATGCCGCACAGGCTCATCGAGAGATTACTGACGTTTATGGACCCGATTTCGTGACCGAACGAACTATCCGGAATTGGTTTCAACGATTTCGTGAAAAATTCCTGAAAAAACCCTTCTAACAACATCAAAAAAATGATAAAACAAAAAAAACGAGAAAAACGAAGGAAAATCGCGAAAAGCGGCGGAAAGGCTATTGATCTGAGGGTCGCTGGTTCGACTTCCACCGGTGACAATATTTTTCAAAAATTTTTTGCTAAGATTCTGAAAATGCGTGTCTCGGGGTTATTTTTGACGCTGATCACGAAACACATGTTTTTAGCCTAGGTTTCTGCACGGAAAACTAACGAAACGTGAAAACAGCCGTTTTTTGGCTCTCCCGCCCTTTACTAAAATAGCTGTAAAGGCTTTTAGAAAAGAGATATCTCAAAACGGTTTTTACCAATCGATCCGTCTTGAATTCAGCTTTAGGATGAGCTATAAAACGTCAAAATTCGACAAATTTAAGGTACTCTCCCAAAAAATCGGAAAGGACTTTTCCACCAACCCAATATTATGACAATATTATGACAATATTAATGACAAACTTGAATCCACCGAAGAATGTTGAAATATGTGTCATACTTTGGGTGAATCAAATCTTTCACGGCTTCACGGACCTAAAAAATGATAGATAATCGAGTTTTTTTTTGCAAGAAATACCAGTAACTAGTAAAAATTTTATCCAAAATATTAGTGAATAATTTTAAAAGCGTTTTTAAAAGCTTGTCAATAGATTTTTGCCATTGTCAATAGATTGTCAATCTGTTATTTGTCAATTACCTGTGCCACCTCAATGTCGGCCGCGGTGCTCGGCTCTTCAGGCATTTTTCAGTAGAAAAATCCTGAATTTTAAAGGAAAAGTTTAAAATGTCAAGTTATTATTGAAATATTATTGAAATTCAAGCATTTCAAGCAAAAAAACAAAAAGAAATAGGAAAATTGTAGGGAAAAACCATAGAAACGCCTCTCGAAGCAGTTGTTTACTGACCATTTACAGAAAAACTTCAAAATTAGAACAAGATTATAACAAAATGAAGATAGAAATTGTAAAATCTAGTAAAATGAAACTAATACTAATCCTAAAATGAAACTAATACTACCTTTTAATCAATGTTTTATTCATTGAAAAGCTCTAGAGAGCAATAACCTTCAATGTTTTCAGTGAAAGACTGACCCTTGATGAGAAAAGAACAAAAGAAACACTCTTTTTTCTTGGTTTTTGAGCTTTTGACTCATCAAATAAAGAGAAAATTAGTGAAAATGAATCAAAAGCAAAGAAAAATGAGTTACAAAGAAATCACGATACCGTCATACTCCTAATAGTAGCGCCCCCCTATAATGACGGTGGAGCCTCGCGTACTCTAACTTTAAACGCATTTTTCTCGCCATCCGTTTATGCTACAGTATGCGCTTAAGTATCAAATGAAAGCTGAAATTCAGGGCTATTTTTTGATACTAAAGATGTACTTTTAGAAATTATGGGCGTTTAGAAAAAAATGATTTAGTAAAAAATTTTTTGCGACTGCGCGACGATACGGGGAGGAGGGTGGCGCTACTATTAGAGGTATTACGGTAGATAATTTTGTAAACAATAGTTACAGTAGGCCTAGGAAAGGAATTTCTTATGCTTTGTCGACTGTAGGGTAAGTTCTGTAGACTAAAAGACGCTAAGGTAAAATTTCTAAAAGGTATTTACTACCGTAATCCTGTCAGTTTCTATACCGTAATTCTACCGTAATCCAGCCGTATCTAGCTACTGTAATCCTGTCAGTTTCTCTTGGATCAGCTCAATTTTTGTATCATTTACTGAGTCTTGTGATCTTTTATCGAATTTGATTGACTGGCTTAACTGAAAGGTAACTGGCTTAACTGAAAGTCTGGCTTAACTGAAAGTTAACTGGCTTAACTGAAAGGTAACTGGCTTAACTGAAAGTTAACTGGCTTAACTGAAAGTCTGGCTTAACTGAAAGTTAACTGGCTTAACTGAAAGCTCTATACGATTACGAAAGGTTACGAAAGATTACGACTACGAAAGATTATGATTACGAAAGATTATGATTACGAAAGATTACGGTAGTTTTAGATACCTTTTAGAAAGCTAATTTTATCGATAATTGAGCGATAATTTGAAATTCAAATAGAAAAATGACTTTTAAAAACTAAGAGACAAAGAGATTGAGGAAAAAATCTCCTAAATTTCCTAAAATTTCCTAAAAAAGAAATGGAAACCCCATTGTTGAGCTAGAAAGAAGAAAATTTAGAAAAATTTCTTCTTTGAGTGAGAGTGATTGTGAAATTTGTGGAAAAAGAATTGAGAATTACTGAGAAAATGAAGTGAGCATTTAAAAAGAGAAAATTTTGAAGAGATTTTGAAGAGATTCTCTTTTCTCTTTTCTCTTTTACATCAAGGTCGACATCATTTTGTGGTAACCGGCCATTCTTGAAAAGAAAAAGAAAAGGAAAACTCAGTAAAAAAAGAAAGTAACTAGTTTGATTGAGAAAAAAAAAACAATACTGACACTAGAGTTTATGCTTGTGGTTTGAAGTGGCTTGAAGTGCTTTGAAGTGCTTTGAAGCGCTTTGAAGTGGCTTGAAGCGCTTTGAAGTGGCTTGAAGTGGCTTGAAGTGCTTTGAAGTGCTTTGAAGTGCTTTGAAGTGGCTTGAAGTGCTTTGAAGTGCTTTAAAGTGCTTTGAAGTGGCTTGAAGTGCTTTGAAGTGTTTTAAAGTGCTTTGAAGTGTTTTAAAGTGCTTTGAAGTCGTTTCAACACTTCAAATTATCTTTCCAATTCATTGGGAATTGCTTTTGACTTGAGAAATACAAAATTTGAAGTAATTTTGATGAAAAAACCAAACGAGTAAGTGTTTAATGGACTTTTAAAACAAAATCAAAGCTCAAATCAAAGCCAACTAAACGAGTAAACGAAAATATCGATGAGAAGTCACAAATAAACAAACCCAATCACGATGAAAATGTTTCACCACTAAAGAAATCTCTGATATCATTAATTCTATCACTTTTCCTCTCAAAATGATCATTGTGAGAGTATTTCTTTTTTTCTTTTTGCCAAATTGGGAAATGAAAACAGGGAAAGATTGAGAGAAATCACGAGATTCGCCCATCGGCAAACTGATTGAGAAAAAGAAGAATGGGGAAAGATTTGTTAACAAGATCACATGTTTGGAGAACAACTTTAAACTAGGCTCTTTGGAGAACAACTTTAATCTTTGATGACTTTAAAGTCTCAAAGAAAACACTAGGAAGAATCAAAGAAGTCACAAAGATACTCAAGAATCACCAGAGGACTCGGGCACACCTTTTCGACAGCACTGTCCTCCCGGCACTCTGCTACGGGGCAGAGACCTGGGCCACGACACAGACCACCGAACGAGCCCTGAGAACGACGAATTGAGTCCTTGAAAGGAACCTCCTCGGGCACAATAGGAAGACGCAGCTCGACCAAGACCTAAGAAGTGTGGATATGCGTCGGCTCTCGGAACTCAGAGATCCAGTGGAAGTGATCGAGAGAAAAGACTCGGCTGGCCACGTAGCCAGAAGAATGGACGACAGAACAGACGACAGTCCTCGCATGGACAATATGGATCACAGAGTGGCAACCACGAGACCAGAAGAGGCCCATCGGAAGACCAACAACAAGGTGGAGCAAAAGAGTGGCAGAGACGGTCAGAGAAAGGAGTGCTAGAGGCTAGAGTGCAACCAGCACAAGTAAGTCGAAGACTTCGAACCAGGAAGAACCAAGATAGGAACAAACTCCAAGATGTTTGGAGAACAACTTTAAACTAGGCTCTTTGGAGAACAACTTTAATCTTTGATGACTTTAAACTTTAAAATTCGTCTCGTTGAAAGTTTACAAATGAATTTCAATATCTGAAGTGAGCGCTATCATTTTTGAGACTCAGGAAATTGTTTAGATAGCTGAATATCTTTTAGCTTATCTAGCTATCTAGCTGAATAACTTTTAAATTTTTTAGACCAATTTTTAAAGTGCCGGATTCAAATCTGCAAATCCAAGGATTTCCAAATATTGTCAATCAATTCGACTCGCCTCGCTCGGCAGTATTTTATCAATGTCGACAAATCGTCTCTACGCTGATACCATAAATTATCCGGTAAGTAAATGGTAAATGGTAAATGAAAGGGGTTAAGACTATCACCAATGTTAAGAATCGTACATTCAAATAGTCAATGATCAATGATATCAATGATCAATGATATCAATGATCAATGATATCAATGATCAATGACATCAATAACAAAATGACAGTCTCACCACTGTTCTTAGATTTTCAAGATATCAACTCAAAAGTATAGTTTGAATCTATTCGAATCAGATAAACTACTATGAAAAGCTCGATCAACAAGTGTAAGTCAGCAGTGTAATCAGCAAGTGTAGTCAGCAGTGTAGTCAGCAGTGTAGTCAGTAGTGTAGTCAGTAGTGTAGTCAGCAGTGTAGTCAGCAGTGTAGTCAGCAGTGTAGTCAGTAGTGTAGTCAGTAGTGTAGTCAGCAGTGTAGTCAGCAGTGTAGTCAGCAAGTGTAAGTGATCTCCAACTTTCTTTGTTACAGTGTCCTTCTCACAGTGTACTTTACATCTTTTAGAAGACAGCCTAATTTGGTCAATCTCTATTCCCTCGATCAATACTTTTTTGATCACCCCGATTTTCGAGAGACTAAAAGAGGCGTTCCGGGAGGTTTTGCATATTTTGTGCGGAAATTCATTTTTCATCGTTTCATTCATTTTCCCTGGAATTCCCATCGAATTCCCGGTTAAATTCGCGTCGTTTTTTGCAAATTTCTTTGCAAATTCAGCCATCGTTCAAATCGTCTCTACGCGGATGCCATAAATTATCCGGTGAGTAAATGGTAAATGGTAAATGGTAAATGAAAGGGGTTAAGACCATCACCAATGCAACATCTCTAAAAAATGACAGCATTGAGAGCTTAACAACTAATCTTAATACTTATTTAAGCTCATATCTAACGTTGGGAGTGGGATAAATGCGACCTTTTTCTTTGCGCACCCAGTCATTTGCCCACGTTTTTTTGGCATTTTTTGGCGTTTTTTTCCGTCCCATTAGCGCACTTTTTTTCACATTTTAAAAAACCTCTAAAAAGCTAATATTAACCAATTTTTCTTTTAAAAGTTGCTTTTTCTGGGTAATTTTAGAGCATAGAATTTAAATTTTAACATATTAAAGCTTGTGAAAACAATTGGAAAGATAAAAAACGGATAGGTCAAATTGCAGAAAATTGTCGATTTTTCCCGATGGATAACTCCGTTCGTTTGCTTAGGGCTTAGGTATGATAGGTATGATAGGTATGATAGGTATGATAGCTCTGATATGTCTGATATGGCTCTGATATGGCTTAGGTATGATAGCTCTGATATGTCAACATTCGTGTTTGTCAACAGTAATCAAGTTTAGTTTTCTATGCCCTAAAATTACCCAGGAAAAAAAACAACTCTTTGGAATAGAAATTGGCTAATATTAGCTTTTTAGCGCTTTTCTAAAAAGCGAAAAAAAGTGCGCAAAAAAATCGCATTTATCCCACTCCCCTAGCGTTTGCTTTAACTAAGCGTCGGTACGCTTTGGCTTTGGCTTTGCATATTGTTTAGCATGAGTTCTGAGTTCAGTTTGATTGTTTAGAAATTCAAGTTTCTTAGTGATTTGTATTTCCCAACAAGAGCAAGAGAAACTCTTTCCAAACGTTGTGTTGTGCAATCGAATTTTTGAATGATGAAATCGTTCTCTTTTATAATCAAGTGACCAAGTCTCTGACTTATTGTTAGCTTCTTTAGAATTCAGG